CCGATCCCCCCCCCCCCTCTCGGTTTATAACGAATTCGACTGTCGGATCGTTCTCGCATTCAAGATGGCCGACTTTGGAAAACGGCAAACTTTTTTTTCCACTTAAAAATATGCGAAGCAGGAAGGCGTTGGTGACATGCGGGTGGGTTCTCCCTGGAAGATGCTTAATAAATGACTATGTAGTAATTTTAGCGATGACCCTCGCAAGACACGATGCTGCCGTCACAGAATTGTTTATTTGTTTGTTTTGTCAGGTTAGGTTAGGGGTTTCACGTGGTCAATCTCAGTGATTCCTTGTAAACTTGAACACTTTATTGATTTGCTGTATTACCTTCGTTTCGCATCGCCTTACCACTTTCCGGTTGCTTCGGGTACAGTCCGTCAAGTATATCTTTGCCAGTGATGGGTCGGACCGATAACGTTACACGCTACTTGCCTAAGCTCCACCAATTCTTTTTTTTCTACTGATAAAAGTCATTCCCTACAATCTCTTGGAGATAGAGAGATAGAGAGAGAGAGAGAATGTACGCGCAGTCAGTGCAATATCTCTATACTTTGATTTCACAATTCTTGAACAGTTTTGATAGGCTTTACGCAACAGTCCCCACGGTATCGGTAACGTTGTAGGATTTTACTAGACTAGTTTCACCGGTGACGCGAGATAAGAAGACACGTGGGGTGGGGGGTGTGGGGGTATCTCTTCGAGGAAGTATTTTGCTGGGAGAAAAAATGATTGGAGAAATTGATAAAAAAAAAATAAATTCTAAGAAAAACATTGGCTCCGCGAAGGTAATATCGGTGTTCCGCAATTTGATGTAATTTTAGCGATGATACCACCGTTCACATAGCTCCGGATATAATAACGCACACATTCTACATGAGCCGCTAACCCGCGCTCGTCTCTACCTGCTCCGTGTGATAAGTTATCGGCGCTTGGATCATGGATATTTTTATCGGGTCTCCTCTGGCGGATTATCGTTAAAAAGTCAAACTGCCAGAGGAAAAACAGACGTCTGTAACGGGCGTCCCGACGGCCTCTTCTTTCTTGGGCTTGTGGGTCTTTTGACCGAAAATTTACCTGGGCTCTTCATTTCGCGATCATTCAGCTTCCTTCGCCAAAGCCAGCGTAAGAGAACGGGAATCGGATGACGAGTACAGGACGATCTTGCTCGAGTCTGTTGTTCTTGATGGGAAGCGAGGGTGGAGCGAGGAGAGCTTGAAAAATGTCTACGTTGTCTCCGTTATCTGTAAAAACCGGAAGACGCTTGGTAGTTGAAAGGAATTTGGCGTCTGTTGGAGGAATGTCCTGTTCGTGTTGTTGTTTGCGCCGCTTACGACTTCTTATATCGAGGCTCAGTCGTGTTGGACGTCGTCAGATTATTGATTGCGTCTATAAATGTGGTTTGCTGGCGATGATCGTAGGTGGTAGCGGGTGGGACGCTGTTGAATTTAAATTTCTGATCTTGTCTAGTAGATCTGACGCTTGACCGATGTAAACAACTAGCTGGGTTTTGAACTTTGAAATTGTGCCTTCTCTTGTTACCATTTATCTGACCGTTTTCTTAATGCTCTGTGTTGCAGCTGGTTTCCCTGGACGGACTGCACAGTGGCGTACCAACCAGGACGACGCCCACGCTCACGCCAACCACCCTCAGGAGTATCGAGCAGACCTTCCTGGAGCTGACGAACGAGTCGGCTTCTCATAGCAGGGAGGCTGGATTTGTTCCTCCTCTTGTGGAACCGTCACAGCCGACTCCGGCCCAGACCCAGAATACCACGCTACATCACACGGTCTTGCTGGACAATCAGCAGAGTCAACCTCAGCAACAGACTCGACGCAACATGGGAGGTAGAAGACCTACTCGGACCATTGGCATGACTCCCGAAGAGGAGGAGAGACGTCAGATACGTCGTGAGAGAAACAAAATGGCAGCTGCTAGATGTCGCAAGCGAAGAATGGATCATACCAATGCCCTGCTAGAAGTATGTATTATTAAATGCTAAACAGTTGGATCACGTACCCCGATGGGTGCCCCGTGGAGAGAATGTCATTTTAATGTTTTTCTTACAATTTTTGTCTTTCAGGAGACCGAGGGCTTGGAGCAGAAGAAACAGAGCTTGCAGGATGAGATTCAGCAGCTCCAGCACGCCAAGGAGGAACTGGAGTTCATCTTGGAAGCTCACAGAGCTGTTTGTCGACTGAGATCGTCGTCACCGCCGGATGTAAAGCCCGTAATAAAGCCCAATATTCCGAGCGACGATCACTTTGCAGAGCCCGCCAAGAGGGACCCCATTTCTGCCGGCAGACCGAACAGACCGAATTCCTTACCCGTTGGATTCGAGAACAATAACAGACCGAACTCCTTGCCGATCTTCACCGAGCCCAAGGAGAGACCGGACTCTCTTCAGTTCAAGACAGTCGAGACGCCGTCATTCATGAAAACGGCAGCCGAAGTGGCAGGCATACCAATCACAACTCCGTCCAGCGGAATTCCTTTTAATTTCGATTCCCTTATGGAAGGTGGAACTGGGTTGACACCCGTTTCTACGCCCCTGGTACCCTCTTGCTCCACGCAACAAAGAAGCAATCTTTCAGCAGTTGACCTCAGCTCGCCAGACGCGAATCCACCGAAACTTGTGAGTTTGTGACGCCAGGACGACATCGACTACGAGTACGGATCCGCTGAGGATGATCCGGAATGAAGTGCCGCCGGTGCATTGGTTGTGGTTTTTCAAAATTGTCCATTTCAAAGAGTAGGAGAGGAAAATGAATGTAACAAGAAAGCTGAAAACCATGACGCGACGAGAGGCCTGACTTTTCATACATGTTTTTGTTTTCTCTGTGTCGTTGACATCACAAGTTGCCATAAATGTATTCTTGTCCTTCGGGGCTGTATTCGATACCGCGTATTCCCATTGCAATGAGAAACTCCTTGATATCGCGGGGAGACTGAATTTCTTGCGATCCTTCGATCGGTGGCTTCGAAATTATTCCGTTACGTGTGCCGATATTCCTCATTGTCCAAGGATACACAGTTGTCTTTGCTGAAGTTTTCTACTATGCCGGCATATCCAATGTATTTAAATCTGACGATTGCTTTGTACCGAAGGAATAATAAAAACTTTTGTAGCATGTACAGACAGCAACTACTGTCTCTCTTGTATGTTCTGTATACTTGGCAGACTGTCTACCAGGTGTCAATTGTTTGTAGTATCGACTGAAAGAAAAAAAAAAAAAAAAAAAAAAAAAAAAAAAAAAAAAAAAAAAAAAAAAAAAAAATGAAATTGTAGAATCATTGCAAACTCTTTACCGTCGCAAAAGTCAGTATTAGACTAGTTTATGCGGAAAATGACGAATAGCCAGCGAGAAATGGATTCGCGTGATGTACTGTCTCTGCCCTTAAAGACTTAAGAGGAAAAAGAAGTAAAAGAACTTCTTAGGTTTCTCTCCCCGAGCCTGTGTCCACTTTAAAGGCGTAAGTCGCGTAATAGAGTCATTTAATCGAAAGGAAACATTTTACGCCTTACAATAGTCCCTAGGGATAGAAGCAAGTGTTTGTAAGCGAGTGATATATATATATATATACACACACACGATACGCATATATTTAATTACCGCGTAACACGGAAACAAATTAGAGGTAAACCGATAAGATTATCATTTCGTAAGGAGTTAAAAGGACGAAGTGAATTTTTATATTATTATTATACACGAAGAAAGTTTTAAGATATAAGAAGACAGTTTAGCTCAAGCGTTTTAAATAGGCTTAAGGAGAAAAAATTACGAGTTTAAATTGCGCGGGCATTTCGATATTCGAATAATCGCGCGCATTTTAAATCTATAAGTTTCTACTGGACGGGCCGTCGTTTTCTCGAATAAGCGCGTCGTCGCTCTAACGTCGCCATTATGCCAAAGGAGACTTTAGTTTCTTTTTCCTGCGTGGGAAAAAAAAAAGAAAAACTTGAAACGTTACCAAGCAACCTATTGCCATTTATCGTAGACTTTACTGGATACCGACACAGCACAGACGTCATAGGAACGTCCCCACTGACTCTTGGCCCGTTCTGTACAAATGGAGGAGTCTCTCGATCGTCAAGATTCTGTCGATTCTTTGAATGCGGGCCCGCAAGCGGCGTGCCTCAAACGACAACAATATTGTATAACTTTTAATCCCTCCAATACATATAATATATATTTTATAACGTACGACATTTTTGCATGACCTTGAGCGATATTGTATTAATATATTTATATGCGATGGCACGTTATCGCTCGGCCGGCGCCGCGTGTTATGTTTTGCTCGTACGTAGTTTCGCTAGCGATTTCCTTTGGTATTCGCTGAAAAAAATTTAATATTATGGCACATGGAAACCGAGTGATAACGAGTAGCCGCGAGATATTTCACGATTGTGTAACAAGATTGTAATACACCATTGACGATGCAATATATTTTGTTTAGTTCAAGCAGCCGATAAGAGGGCTTGAAAAATTGTAAAAGTAAACGTTTACCGTATTACCTTATTTCTTTCTTTATTTTTTCCATGTGTTCCTCCCTTACTTATTTTTCTTCCCTCTTTATCTTTTCACGTCGGCCAATTAACTTCGTTTACCAAACGCTTCGGAGACTTACCAGTGCCTGGTGCATTTCAAATATACCGCCAGTCAAGAAACAACGTGGTACGTACGTTGCTCCGTAGACACAGGGTGCCTTCATCGCGCCAGAATAGTCCTGACTAGTATATAGTATGATTTAATAATATATATACCGTACTACACGTGTACTCGCTAATGTGTTCTTTGGACGTAGAGTGTAAATATACAATGACTTACAAACGATACCATAAGGCCAGTCACAACGATAAAATCAGAGCGCGTGCACGGGCCCACTGCCTTCTAGATATGCTCGCGTTGGCTCGTGTCGAACTGGCTTTTAGTTTCTTTATTTTCTCAAGAAGTACAGACCTTACGTGGCGATAGGTCGGGATAACGTTTTTGTAAATGCGAGGGTGGATGGTGACTGATGGAATTATCCTTAAAGAGATATTTCAGGTGTGCCTTTATTGAGCGTTCCTAAAGTTTCTTGCCTGAGGTTTATTTACAAGAGAAATGATATATTTACATTGAAATAATTTAATCAACTATATTTGCATGCCTTCTTTAAAAGCCTGTTACTCTTTTTATTGCCTGCTGCTCCTCCATCGAACTCATTGCTTTGTAATGATCGAACTCCAATGAAAATACTGCAGTGCCTGAACTTATTATTCTTAATGCTGTCGCGTAGCCCAGCAATTCCGATAATGGCGTGAGAGTTTCCAAAACCTGGGAGAATTGAACTTTTTAATATTTTTCTTACCGTCATTCTTATACGATCGAATGAAACTTACTTTATTTTGACCGCGCACGTCGATGCGTTGGATTTGTGCTCTTCTGCGCGTCAGGTCATTCAGGATGCTGGATACGTACTCGTCAGGAGAGACTACCTCGAGTTGCATTATCGGCTCCATAAGAATGGATTCTCCTGCTTGCATCAACTGCAACAAAACATCGTCAGACTATCGAGACTTTTTTGTTCTCTGAGGCAAACTTCAGGTTAAAAAGAAAATTCGCTGTGATCGTTGAATCATATGAGGATTCAGTAATATGACAATAATTCTTAATGCTGTCAGGATATTTATCTTTGTTGTACAGCATCAGCAACAAGCCTTTGGAATACTGGAGTAAAAAACAATCGCGCACTGGACGCATCCGTAAAGTTTTGGATACCGAATTGCTTGAGGATGTACGATAACCTATTGAGGTCGAAATTTACATGTTTCACGTAAAATTGAAGTTACGATTCTTTTTTTAATCAGGTAATAGAAATACAAGATTTGGAACAATGCAGCGTCCCGGGGACGTCCATTTTGTGTCCCTTCGAGGCGGAACAATTTCTTCATATAAAACTACCGATTCTCGTAGTTGTCATGAAGAGTACTAATGGCCAGTGGCGTATTCAGTTGCAAGTAATGAATTAAGGCAGTTTTCAATCGATCGATGTAATTCTCATTACGTAAAGGACGGAATATGCTTTTCTTTTTCTAGATAAAAGATACCGACGGCATTCGCCATCATTTTTGTTTCTCCAGTACGAGTATTGAAAATAATATGAATATTCGTGCTCCCGTTATTTGTCGCGTTCAAGTGAAACTTCAATCTGGCTGGAACAAGTTGGAGTTGGATCTGGGACAGTTGACGAGGAGTACTTTTCACTCCGTTTACGAAGCAACTCAGAAACTGGAGATAAGTGCCAACTGCCGATTGCGAAGAATCTATTTTTTAGATAAGCATTATGAGGATTCTGAAATATCTACGGAGTTGTGTCAAGGGTTTTTAGATTTTTATATGCTCAAGTGGGGGATACACTTGGTTGAAAGATCAACGCAAACTGATGAAATCAATTTCAAAGTCTCGTCTCTTGATCCAATTGTGAATGTTACTGATGGCGTTAAAAAAAAGTTGACCAAAAATTGTGCTACCAGGAAGGAATGTCATACAGAATTTTTACAAAATGATTCGACCCTTAATTCCAAATTTATAAATATAATTCAAGTCAAATCCTGCAGATTGATAGACAATTTTTTTAGTAAAACCCCTTCGAAGTTTTCATCAGTTTACGATTTTAAGCAGAAATTTAAGGCCAAACCATATTTCACTCCAATTGTATGCAAGTCGCATTCAAAGGAACTGTTAGCCAAAAAATTATTTACAACAAACTTGGAAAAACATTGGCTCTCTGAAACGTATGAGAGTTTTCCAAAAACCGTAGAAGGGTTTTTTGAAAAGTTTTGTCACACTTCCATAGGTGATGATTACGAACCTATAAATAAAGATCAGAATGAACAAAATAAAAAGAAGCAAGAAAAAATGCAGGAACAATGGATTCATCGATACGTGGAGCAATTTGAATTAAATAGCAAAGATAAAGATATAGATAAAAGAGTATAAGAAAGAGAAATTCGGCTTTGTCCTGTAGATGAACGAGCCTTCATATGTAAAAATTTCATTTCAATAAAGATATACATACAATATTTAGATTCTAAATAAGAAACAAACCTTCCGTATGCACTGGGATACAGCGGCTGTTATCATAGTGTCAGAGGTTCCTCTGCCAACCTCCAGCCAATGCAGTTTAATCCCCATGTTGACAACAGGACATCCCAGTTTGGGTCCATGAAGAATAGCCGCTTGTACGCCATGTCTAACAGCCTGCATCACTCTCGGATGAATATTATCAATATTGGAAGCACTTTCATGGGACCTGTCCAAGAGAAGGTTCTCCTTGCCTTCGTAAAATGGTATCAGGGACATAGTCACGGTAACACTATGACTGCTGTTGCCAATTTTGTGATTAGAAACGTGCGTATCTTTAGCTTCTACTTGGATAGTCTCCTTGTAGGCAATCTGTAGAGGGCCGAGGTCGACATCAATCTTGTACTCAGTTCTGATTCTTTCCTTGATAATATCTATGTGCAGTTCTCCCATTCCTGCCAGAACAGTTTGACCTGTTTCTTCATCCTGGCTAACACGTAGACTCGGATCTTCTCGTTCCAGTTGCTGCAGCGCAGCATCCAGTGCATTTTGATAAGCTAACGACGGCGGCTCTATAGAACAGAAAAATACTGGATCTGGTATCCTGGTACCGGTTGAGAAGAGATTCTCGATTTCCTTTGGAGTTGCCTTTTTACGGTTTTCCATATTCTTTCGCGCGCGACTTGCCGAACTTGCATTGTTCGTTATTAAGTCCCCGGTGACGGTGGACTTGAGACCCGCTACTGCAGCGATATTTCCACATTTGATCTCCTCGATTTCCTCGTAGTCGTCGGCATAGACGACGTACAGCTTGCTGGATTGTTCGCTCCTCTCACGCTGCACGTTGTAGATTCGTTGACTTTTAGTGAACTTGCCTGTATAAATCCTCAGGAAGGTAACTGGACCACGTTGTTTGTCGTGGATGATTTTGAACGCTCTTGCCGATAAATTATTTTCGAAACACTCATATTCTTTTGTATATTTGTTCTCATCCGGTGATGGCAAGTAGAGGATGACGCTGTCCATCAATGGTTGCACTCCTATATTCTTGTATGCACTACCAAGCAAGACAGGTACACCTTTCCTATTCACTGTACTCTTATGTATGGCATCAACTAGTATCTGGGATGGTACTGCATCCAAGGATTCTTGTTTTATGATAATGTTAGCTAGTTCGTCATCAAGTCCCGATAGCTTGTCAGTCAATATTCTACGCTTTTCATTTGCTATTTCCCACAAGTGGCCATCTTCGCTCTCTGTCAATTTTGTCTTAGTCATTTTTCTGCCTTGAGATTTTGAATCAAATATTATACGTTCTAAGGTTATGATATCTATAATTCCAACTAAGCCAGTCTTTTCTTTAATAGGAAGCTGAATGGGTAGAGTGACCGTTTCTAATTTTGATTCTATGGATGCTAGACTCATGTCAAAATTCCCATCGAGTCTATCCATTTTGTTCACAAAGACAATTCTTGGTATATTGTATCTGTCTGCCTGTTTCCATACTGTTACTGTCTGAGCTTCTACACCAGCTGATCCATCCAGCACTACTATTACTCCATCAAGGACATTTAGGGTCTGTTCCACTCCCATGGTGAAATCAATGTGACCAGGTGTGTCAATTAAATTAAATCTATGATCTTTCCAGCAAAATGTAACTGCCGCTGAAGTAATTGTGATACCCCGCTCACGCTCTTGCTCCATGTAATCTGTTACTGTATTTCCATGATGTACTTCACCCATATTACCAATAGTGCCAGAATAATACAACATACGTTCTGTGGTTGTAGTTTTTCCTGAAATGATTAAAAGTGTATCTTTAGTACTCGACTCTTTGGATCCAGGAATCTTAACCTTAACGCTTTTGCATTATAAATGAGATTATTGCATTATAGTTTATAATACAACTTATGTGACAAATAAATATATTTAAACGAAAAAAAAATCACATACCAGCATCGATATGAGCCAAAATTCCAATATTCCGGATTTTCTTCAAATTATGTTTCTCTTCCTTCATTTTATCAATCTTAATATCATTGTGCAATGTTCTTTTATGAAATTTATATCGGGACGTGTTTATTAAGTTTCGTCTGAGCATTTTCAGATATTTCTACGAAGCATCTGACACCTTTGTTATACACCACACCAGTACGAACAGGAACCACGTGCTTTTAGCCGCGAAACATGACGGATCTAATTACTTTTTTTAAAGCTCCGATGACGGCCAAATTATAGTGGTATGCTGACATTACAACGTAAAAAAAAATAAAATATTCACGTTTCTTTCTCTTTTCTAAATATGTGAATTTAAATTATGAGCAAGGTGTTTCTCCTTGTGCCACTAACGTAAGCCGTTCTTTTCTATAAAGTCTTTCCAGTGTTAGACACGTTACTAGAAGACAATTTTGAAATTGTATAATTTCAAGTAACATCACTAGGCTGAGTATTTTATATATGTACAAAGATTACGCTTTATATTTAATGGATCACCGTGTATGTCAAAGACAATGATAATAATATACTGGTACTGATGTCACTACAGTGAATTAAATTGTACACAACCACTACAATGATTTCTATCATTATTCATCAAGTAATAAACTTCATAAGGTATACAATTTAATTTTTAAAATCTGTAATGAAAGGCATATTTTACTGTAATTATTTATTGCTATAGTGAGCAGTTGAAACTGGGTTAATTTACAATTAAGATCTGTAAAGTCTAAGGGTAACAATATATATTTATATTTCTACAATTTCCATTGGATAGTTGCTTCATCAAAATACGTATTGTATTTCTTGTAACCGTATCTCCTTTTGGGATCCTTCTTGCTTGAAGGTGGATTGAGATTCGGCATCAGCCCTAACATAAACAGATGGTAATTAATCGTTAAGATGAATGTCTACAGTATACTTTTAGTATAATGTAAAAAGACTAACCAGCTTTTTGAGCCATTGCAACCATCACTGAAACTCTCTTCTGTTGTACTTTACATAGATTGGTAATTCTGCGAGGTAACATGCATCCATCTGATCTTAGAAATTGGCTAAGTATAAGCACATCCTAAAATGGAAAAATAAGACTATGAGAATGATTAATTCTACAGAGTTCATTATGCTTAGAGCACACGATAACAAGTATGCACTTGTTATGTGAAAAGTACCAAGCATTTTGTCTTACTGTATGTTTTACATCGAGCCCAGTTGCACATAGTGGACATGCCGTTGTATTGTTTTTTATTTGTAAGTGTTCATCCTTTGGTTTTACAAATTCGCCTGATATTATTAAAGTGTTACCTTCCTTTTTCTCGCGTACTAGAAAACAAATATAAAATTATTAAAAGCAAATTCAAAAGGTTATATTTCGAGAATTGAAAAATAAAAAAAAAATGTATATAATTATTCATTGCGATTTTTTCGTCTATTGAGTTATCTTACTCTCTTTTAGTCGTGATACTGCCGAAAGTGATACATTTCTGCTGGACTGTGGAAAAAAGATAGCTTTACTAGCCTGCACAGTAAGTCTACAGAGCGCAGCCATCTTCCCTGATGAATACTGACGATACTAACTGATACTGACCAATGCTGACGAGAACACGTTAATTTGGAGTTTTAAATATTATGATAGCAATTTATTTTTGCGTCTCGCGTATGATTCTTTCTAAAAGTATGCAACAACATTATTTTATATGCAATATTTATTGTTTCGCTATCGTTTACCTATCATCAGTACTAATGATTTGAAAAATATTAGTTGGTTGTTCTAAAAGTGCCGGCCTTTATTCTGATATTTCGATTGGCAGCTTCCTCAGACTTCTTTCTCCTGTACCCAGTAGAGAAGTGCTTGGAAGTGTCATACGACGTGGCCGACACGAAATATGGTGGTTCTGCTAAAACAAAGATTATTTTCTCAAATAATAGAAGTTTGTCATTCTTTAAAAAATCCAGGAGAAACGGATTGTTTGAGTGTGTTCCGTTTTAAGGTTGTTTAACGAATATTAAAAATAGTTTCTGGAGCCTTATAAAGCATCGACATGGGGTTGTGCAAGTGTCCAAAGAAGCGGGTTACCAATCAGTTTTGTTTTGAACACCGAGTCAATGTTTGTGAACATTGTCTGGTGATGAACCACCCCAAAGTAATTATTCATGCGCCTTACACTGCTTTACAATATTACTAAAATATTCACTGTTGTGACCAAATCATTAAATGCATGTTAATATAAAAATGGCTACTATATGATTGCATGATTACATCTCTTGATGCAAAAATAATTTATATCTTACTTCTTTTTTTTACAGTGCGTTGTACAGTCTTATTTACAATGGCTTCAAGACAGCGATTGCAATCCTATTTGTACTCTGTGTTCTGGAAGTTTAAGTGAAGGAGACTGTGTACGATTGACTTGTTATCATGTTTACCATTGGGCTTGTATAGACACTTATTGTAGAAATTTACCAGCTATAACCGCACCAGCAGGATACACTTGCCCAACTTGTCAGGCTGGAATATTTCCAAAGGCAAATTTAGTATCTCCAGTAGCTGATGTATTGAGAGAAAAACTTGCAGGTGTGAACTGGGCCAGGGCTGGTCTTGGCCTACCTTTGGTGAGGATAATGAATGGATTTTAAAATAACTGATAGAAGATAAACTATGTATGCAGATCACCAAACTTACACTAATTAATTTTGCAGCTAAGCGAAGATAGAGAGCAAAGACCAGTACAGGAACGTAAGGTTCCAGTCTTAGATGCTTCTCCATATCAAAATCATACGAACACTACGTCCTCTCCCACAGTAGCTACATCTAGAGTAAATAGCAATATTAATTCTGCCAACACCAACACAAACAACATACACTCCAATAATCAAAAACTGGGACCACCTTACTCCGTTGTCAATGTTGAACCATCGCTACCCCTGTTGGGTCAAACTCCACGAAAAATCTTTGAAGCCTATGACGACCCCAAAAACATAACGTTCGACCACGACGAGAACAAATATCAAAGAAAATCAGCTATCGAGTGGTTTCTCAGATGGTGGAAACTCATCACCAGATCTCAGTCCCGCAAAAGACACGTTTCCGGATCTGCATACAAAACGTACGCGATGGTCGGTGTCGTGGTGCTTTTTGTTTTTATCGGAATCATCATTATCTTTTCGTGGCTTGGCAGAATGGCGACCGACGGCGATCCTTCTTTTAATCCTCTATCAAATCCAAACATTTTTGTCGGCCGTGATCCTGGGAATTAACACGTTATAAATATTTAACGTGAATTTATCGTCAAAGCCATATTCCAAACTTTTTTAATCGTTGAATAAGTTGTTAATAGAAAAGACAACAATAGTTGATCAGACTACCATCAAGAATCATTTCTACGAGGATACGATTGTTACGTATGGACGTGAGAAGTGATACGTTTGCGCATGATTTCCCATTATTTGGGCCAAGAATTAGAAGCGGTTGTGCAAATGAATGAGAAGTAAACTCGATCGGAGATTTCGATTAGAGAACGTACACGAAGACGTGTTACAGACTATGATAAGTTAAAAGTTTTATTCATTTTGAACCGCAATACCATAGAACGAAAACTGTACATTGTGATTCAATTGTAAAGTCCCATGAATTTATAAAATATAATGAAGAGTATATAGACAAATTTCGACTTTGATCTGTGCTACCATTGTCCCTTAATCGAGGCAAGTTTGTGACATTAATGTTATAATATTAAAGAGGCACCAGAATAAGTTCTAATGATGACGCTGATAAAAAATCCAAGAATCTTTATGTCAGCCGTCAAGGAATATGCAGAATTGCATCGGCTTGTGTCGCATATGCAAACCGTGGACGAAATTTGACTCCCGTACATGGAGCAGCCAATTCTTAAAGGTAAACCCATGTCATCCTGAAGTCCGTTACATCCTCTGGCCGTGTGCACGAAGATAGGACTGTGTACCAATTTCTTAACACAAAACTCATCTCTCTCCTCCGGACACTCGACGAGAAATTGTCGCCTCTCAGCTTCTGTTGTTAGCGGCCAAAATGTTTCGTCACAAATCGGCATGTCGTCACGACTGTCCGCGGTGCATTGGTAACAGAAAAGTTTCTTTAATTTTGGCATCCGCACATTTTGTGTGATGTTTATATCGACCATCGGTAACGTAATGTAATCCTCGTGGTGCTCCTCGGAATCTTCACTGGAGTGTGACAGAAGGGGACAACTCAGAAAAGACACAAGAAAGAAAACTGGATTCCACATGACTTTCCTGAGTACAAAATATCAGCTGCGGTGAAATTGGCCTATCGAGTTGTCCTGCGTTTATCGAGGTGCTTAGAAGAAGTGGTCGCAGAAGGTGAGTAACTAGGAGTAGACGAAGGAAAAGAAATAAAAGAAGCGCGAAAATTCATGTTAATAACTTCACGAAGCGATCGAACTGAAAAATCTCGAGTGTCACCGCGCGACTAAACGGAAATTTAAATGAAAATATTTTGAAATTCTGATCGGCCTCTCAGTTCAGGCTACGGTTCATGAAATATTAAAATGTCTTTGGTACCGTAATCGTGAAGGCGTCCCTCATCAGCTCGAATATGCCACGCACTTCTTAGGAGAATTTTAACACATGAAATTGATACCAGTACATCAATGAGATTCTAATTATAAACTATTTAGGCCTGTAAAAACGACAATTTTTCTTAAGAAAGAAAAAAGAGGAGAATTAGTGCCAAAGGAACGATTTTTATGATTCTTGGGATCTATTGATCTACGAGCTGCTGTCGATACCGATTCATGGTGATCGATGACTGCTTGCGGATGATTTATATTTCAAGTGACGTCCTGGCATGGTGGGGCGGAACTCGAGACTCGACTCCCGTGGAGATTCCGTTCGCCTTTGCATATGGAATTCCTGGGCTTCGCCATTGGAACAGAAACAGCAGCGCTCCAGCCATTGGATGCGCTACCATTTCCCGTCGTTTGGAGTAGCCGCTTTGAAAAGGAGTGGGGCTGACGCATGTGGCTCTGATTTGTGATTTTTTAGATAAGGGGGGAACTCCAAGGATCCCGTCTATGGGGTCAAGTTTAAATTCGTGATGGAATTGGAAATAGGTCTGTCGAATCAGTTGAGAACGTGGTTTAGGCGACGGTCCACATCCTTGAGCGTTGGATTATCAACTACAGCAGGAATCATGTATCTTTGGGATGCTGGGTACAAATACGTGGCCACTTCATGTGGCGCTATAGCTCTTGGTGAGTTTTTCATTTTATATTTTAATTGTTTTTTTAACTTACTCCAATCTTTCGCTTGTTTTGTGTTTTTGGTATACTTTCTAAATTGGATTTCATATATGCATATGCACTTCGGATTTTATTAAAATTATGTTTTTCTATTATTAGGAAGTGTCTGCTGGTATTGGATCAAGAATATTAAAGATAAAATAAAAGCAAATCAGGCAGTAATTATTACCGGATGTGATTCTGGTCTAGGATACAGTTTAGCGCTCCATTGTCACTCGTTGGGTGCTACTGTAATTGCCGGCGTCCTTCGGAAAGATAGCGTTGGTGCTAAGGATTTAATTAGAAATGGAATAAAAGTTTCGCCGCTCGATATCACAAATGTAGAGAGTGTCAAGAACTTTGAAACATTCGTTGGTGAGCTGTTGAAGCAGAAAAACTTAAGTAAGTAATAAGAAATGTGTAAAATAAAAAAGAAACTCTATACCTTTTGGCGAATTTCAAATTAAATTTGATTTACTGTTTCTGCAGCTTTACGTGCATTGGTGAACAACGCCGGAGTGATGATTTTTGGGGAATTCGAGTGGCAAACGGAGGATCAAACTAGACGACAGATAGAAGTAAATCTACTGGGAACAATGAGAATTACAAAGCAATTGTTGCCGCTGATACGCGCTCATCTCAGTAGAATTATAATAGTTTCTAGTCATTGTGCAGAAGCGCCAATACCTGGAGTCGCTGCGTACGGAGCAACCAAAGCTGGAGTTTCGGCTTGGGCAACAGCGCTCAGAGTGGAATTAAAAAAATATGGAGTCGATGTTGTTTGCTTTGTTCCTGGTGAGTGTGAAATTTTACAATATTCGTAAAATGAGCAATTTCATTTTCTGTAGGTTTTACTTATGATGTTTAATGTGCTTTAGGATCTTTTGCAAAAGAGAGCAATATACTCAGCCAGCAGGTGAAACATTTTGAAGAGATGCACAACGCGATGACCGAAGAGGCCAAATTATTTTATGGGAATTACTTTACTAAATACGAGCAATATTTGTCTTACTTTGCTCGAGCATGCAAACCGTGTAAACTTGAAAATCCATTCGTTTATAACAGTTTTGAAGGAGCTCTTCTGGGCAAATATCCTTCAGCAACATACAAGTGGGTTATTATTATTTATTGAACAATTCAAACCAAATTTGATAGTGGTACTGATTAATTAATTTATTTCAACAGGTGCGAGCCCTACCGATATAAAATTTATCACACACTATTCAAAATAGTGCCAACTTCGATTAGAGATCGATTGGTTTTAAGATTCATACAAATGCCTACGTGGGAGAAAACGGATCGAATAAGAAATGTCAGATTGGCGCAATCTTCTACTGATAAGTCAGAAATCAATTGTGTCCACATAGAAACTCGACATTTGGATACAAGGAAAGCAACAGCGGCGGAGGCGAACTCGCGCTCGAACGATAATCGGTTTTCAGAAAATGAAAATGCGAAATTTACGAAAAAGACTCAAGAGTCTACTCCTTCCCAGAAGAGAAACGTTTGGCGGGTCAAGAAGGAGAAAACTCTGCGGTGATGGAACTACGCAAGACGAAATTTGAATTGTAAGAGAGAAATTCAAAAGAGTCCATTGGCTAAGAGTACCTTTATAATTGATACTTATTTTTAGTGAAACAAACAAAGGGATAGCGTAGTTTTAACTTTATGAGAATCTACTCGCATATAACAGATTTTATACAGTTTTATATCGTTGTACTTTTATGTACTGATATGTAGTCTACTTTCCATAGATAAATGAAAATTTTTACGTATTTTTATTCTATTATTCTGTCGATCTTATCGGTTCCGATCTTTCGGTTCTTCGGTATTGTTCGCCAAGCGAATTTTTAAAGACACACGATGGCGAGATCCAACTGTTTTTTCATCTGATATTGTTGGACTCTGTTGAAAAGATGTTGGTATTGAAATTGGTATCAGGATTTTCTGTTTCGAACCTGCCACTGGCATTCCTACGTGAATAGTTTCTACTACAACACTGTCGCTATTCGTTAAATTTAATGTTTCACTTTTTGACACACGATCAAAGCTCGTGGTCGACGTCTTGTCTTTCAAAATTGATATTTCCGGTAAATTGTAGACTGGTTCTTGTATCGTTTGTTTTACAACTTGATGCTGACTACAATTTTTTCCTAAATTTGAAAAAAATTGATTTTTTTTCTTCGGTGATCCGTCTTTCACTGTTCCTCTTAAAGTTGTGATTTTACTGACCATGTTCTCCGTTTTTGGTTTTAATTCTATAAAAGTGTTTTTTGATTATTTAATTGTTTTAATATAAAGATTATAAAATATATTAAAAGACCTATCCAAAAGGTGGTGCGAAATGTTTCCTTTTTATCTTGTAAGACAGTAGCGTGATTTATTGATTTTGATGATGCCGGACATAATGTTCCTTTTGATACCAATTCCTGCTTTTTGTCCAATTCTGACGTTTCGGGAAAGTATTTTTTCAATGAAAAATCTTTAAGCGTCAGATCAACGTAGTCTGGACTTGGTTGGAATATCGATGATTTACCTGGTAAATTACTGAAAATTAACAGAAGCAGTTTATACCACAGTAAATGATTCTTACGGGATGAAGGTGTCCAGGACTTCATGATTTCTTCTGGGCTAATCTCTTCTGACTCTGATAAATTATCAATTTTTGATAAATCTGTATAATTAGGGTCATCAATTGGTTTTCCTCTTCGAGAAGCACATCTGTTGCATGTTCGTTGGTCTTTATTGTCATTGCCATCTGCTTTTTTTTTCTTATCATGTCTTATATCAGTGAAGGCTGAGTTGCCGACATTTTGAGAATCTGCTGTGACACATTCTCTTCTTGTTGGTTTATCTTGCGTTTTCAACCGTTTATTTAAATCTTGTTCACAAACAGTCTGTGTTAATTTTTCATCATCTTGCGGATTATTGGATGCAGATAATGCTGTGACACACATCATCCGATCTTGGGCTTCAGGTAAAACCTTTAATGTAATTATTGAATATTCGTTTCTGTTGTGCTGTCTTGTTTATGATTGGAATACCTTATCCTTTATATTTGTATAACGCAATTGACTATACTTATTAAAGTCAAAATTGTCAACATCATACAATCGCGTTGACCCGATGACCCTGTGAGGTTTATTAGTTTTTCTGGAGGAAACATCAATCGTGTCGCATTTTAACCATGTTGAGTATTCGCTGTCGACTAGATTTCTACTGTTCTCAGGCGGCGCAGATAAACGGAGAAAAGGATACTTTCTATGAATAGCGGCCGAGTGCCAGACGCCGAATACTTTGTCACCATTATGCGATAAGGTCTGTGTCTTTCGACTTTTTTGCGAGGGACAACTATTGGCAGCTTCTTGTGGAGCAGAATATAATAATCTATGCAGTTAATTATTATTAATAAAATTCTTTATGTAATAATTTGTCAATAAAATTAAAAGACCTTGCTCCTCCTTCAATTTCATTCCTGTTCAGTGGCAAAAATAGACTCATTGAATTTGGTGTGCCTGGGATGTCTATTAATCTTCCAAGAAGCCCTTGTTGAACTTCCTCTAAAGATTGCAAAGGCATTTCCGGTGGAGGAACATTTTCTATAACATAAAATGTCGTACAACGAAAGAAATTACGACAAAAGGTTCTTGTATTAACTGTAATTTATATACCTGTGAATGATTGGCCACTAGACACTCTGTCTGCCATTGGACTTTCAAAAGAATTTTGATAATTGCAATTATTCTGATTGGAAGACGTGGCAGTGGTTTTTAATTTGGGGGTATTGCACGCAAATTGATCTGGTAAAGTAACAGGTTTATTCCACCAATCAGAAAAAAAAGATTCGTTGTTACTGCTTGATTCGACATTCTCATTATCCAAAGTTTCTTTGGAATTTTCTGAGGAACTGAACCGGAGCTGACATTGTTCATTTTTCATTTCTGAATTTACAGTACAGTTTGCTGTTTTATTTTCAAGTTTAATTATGTCTTGAGATTTTGGCCACAGAACTTGACATTTCTCTTTGACATCGAGGTCCGATGTTTCCTTATTTTTTGAGTTTCTGATACAAGTGGAAAGTTGATTGTCTGGTTCATTTTGACATTCTTGCGCTATTTCGTCGGTGGGACAATGAGTAGATGGCAGAGATGTATCCAGTTTTACCCAGGTCTCAGGACATGATGGATTTTCAGCAATGGCTACGGGTAAAAGATTTCCGATATTTGTAACCAATTGCCAAAGAACTTTAGGTCTGGTGTATCCGGCAGGAACATCACAGGGTTCTTGCTGATTATCCTCATTGGTGGAGCTGCATACTGTGGTTGTAGATTTTACACAATGCAACTGGTTTTTTGAATGAATCAGGGTTTTGGGACATTGAGGTACGACCGTATTTTTGTCTATATTTCCTGTTAAAGTGCAAGGCATGTCGAAAAGTTGCTGAAGTTTTTTCCAACAAGACGTCCCTTTTGCCCGAATTTTAGATCCAACGCAAACCTTACTATCTAATAGAAGACAGAATATTTTTAATTAGTATGATACACATTTTTGTTTTAGGTTGCCATATTCATTACTTTTTTCCAAATTGCATGCTACTAGCATACCTCCACGTTTCTTTAGATTACAATGTTCATTTCGGATGCGAAACGTTGGCAAAGTCCAGGACGGGCGGTTTGATTCCGCAGGACAGTTTAAAATCTGAATTCTTCCCTGCTTATATGTTTTTGTGGAAGTTTCGTCGGACCATGAGGTGTCATCATTCTCAAGTTTGTTCTTTACGCAGATTGCATTATTAGTTAGTCTGTGGGTAAAACGGTGAAAACGGATATGAATGACTTGAATATATGTATGAAAAGTGTATAACAGAACCTATAAATCCGTCGTCCACACAGGGGATTGTATTCCCTGACATTGTGACAGTAAGAATCAGTGGGTCCCATTCTAGTCATGGTGGAATTAAAGTTTATGAATTCCTTTTATGTTTAGCAAAGGTTTTTAAACCGATGTTATACATTTTGACGTGCTAGTTATTTTGCACGTCTCAAATTGTCGGACCTGTTTTACATAATTCATGGAAACTATAATCAAAATGGTTTTTATCATCTTTCTATTGTTTCTCTGCTCTTCACTTTGCTTCATAACGTTATAATAAATACGAGTTAAGAAGAACTAAAGATTAATCTAAAGAATTAAATTTATTTTCAAGCTATTTGACCGTAACTAAGTTAAAAAAACTCTTGCATGGCAACTTGCTCGTTAAAAGTAACGTGACAAATTAAACCTTGTACAATGATTAGGAACATCATTACAGAATTCTTCCTACTAAAAGAGTTCATACAATTTAAAGAGGAGATAATAATATTAATTTATTAATCTCCTTGAGAAATAGGTGATCCTCGATCACGTTTCGATCCTTTTCCTTTGCCTTTAGATTTTGATTCTCGCTTTCTACTCGAAGACGACGTCGACGTGGTGGAGGCGGAATCTGCAGGACTTGAATGACTGGAACCCTCACGATCCCATCTTGCCAAAACTTCACGTAAATTTTGACCATCGCTTTCCTCGTACGTGTCTACATCTACGTGTAGATTATCTTGATTGGGATGGTTACTGTTAGTAGATTCTAAATTGGCACGCATTTCTTTTCGCTGATCATCCGTATGCTGCGGGCATCGCATCGACCTGGTGCATAATTTTTTCGTGTGTTCAGAAACTACTCCACATATCTGCGTGAGTAACATACGCTTATCTTCAATCGACATATTTTCATAATTCGATGGGGAGTTTTCGTTGCTTGTATGATTATGCTCAGTGGGATTATCGCCATTTCTTTGGCTGGTTTTTTGTTGTTTTGATTTCTTTACACCATTGCGGTCTTTTCTTCTTTTACGTTTATCATTGCTTAAGCTCCAGTCAACGTCGTCGTCATCATCACTTATAACTCCACTGAGGGTGCTGAGATCTTTAGAGTTATTAGCAATCCTTCTGGATGCTATTCGTGAGCTGTTCCGACCCATTCCCATGCATTTTTCTAAGTGAGTAGCAAATCGACATGCTGCGACACCTCTGTCACAGTTGGGACAATTGCATTCTTGAGACTTTTTCACTGGGTGCTGCCCAAACACATCAAGTCCTGGTGAATCTAAAGAACATTACCAATAAGAAAAGTGTAATGGTGACTTATATTTTCTCGCATGCTGTGTAAAGCATAAAAAGTTAACGTACCAACAATCGCATAAGATTCATCATCTGGTATTCCTTCCTCAACATCAGAACTTCCAGTTTTGATTGTTCGGTGCACATCAAAAACAAATCCCATTAAAACTTCATCAAGAAGGTCTTCATAAATCTCTTTTGTAGCTGCGTCGACGTTTTCTGATTTGCTCATGAAGTCCAGAAATCTTCTGTTTAGTTCCTCTATCCTATCTTCGGTTACAGACATTATTCCTGTCGATTTCAGTCTTGCAGAACAGTCGATACGGACTTCTTCTGCACTGTTTATATTGCACGGGTTGACAGCTACGCGTAACCTATAAGCGTGTCTTGCGGTAATTCTAATGGCAAAATTTCATGTGAATAATTGTACAAAGAATGGCTACGATTTTGAAGGATCATGAATATCTTATGTTTCAATATCTTTGCTGTTATTCACACACATTTTTCCATGACACCACTACCGGGCAGGTGGCAGGCAAGCGGAATACTACCATTGACACCATGTTCGGCCATTTTCCTCAACCGGTTTTCTGCAACTCCCGTTATCATTTCCAAACAACAAATAACGCCATAAACAACAAATTAATATCAACGAAAAAATCCAGTCATTGATTTATGAAAATTGGTACCACATTTAAATAATATATATAACGGACAGACATTATTAGTACATGAAGTATTATTAGAGTTCTTTATACTATATTTACTCCACTGACCCTGTATAACAGTATTCGATACAAACATTCGTGATATTGCAAAATCTAATTGTTATTTGAAGTTGTGTCCTAACAAATAATCGTATTATTTTTAAATGCGGAATTTTCATCCACAGAATAAATCATGTGTCCTTAGAAACGCGTAAACATATATAAATTTTCATTTATAATGAAAAGATCATGTTAAACACGAATTTAAAAAGTTGTATCCAGAGTTATTATCCTCCAGTCACTTTACTATCCTGCCAGCAAATCAATTAGTATTAAAAATTAATTAACTGATATATGCCCTCCAGGCAATTTTAAAGTAAGAAAAGCTAGATGAATCCGCTACGTAAAAAAATCTTTTATTAGTAATATGATCTCAGTCATTACATCCTGTTTCTGCTTCAGCCATATTGGAATGTACGTGAGACAAGAGATACATTTTTAACCTCCGCCTCTTTTCCCATCCTCGAGACACTTTGGCAATGTTCACGCAAGTCAAATACCTTGACAGGTGTCAGGAAAACTAAAGCAAAAGGTATAAAATTGAATAGAATTGTAAAACAATTTTGACAATGACCCAAATGCCGGCCGCCTACACGTGATAAAATCAACATCTGCCACCGCTTCGTTCTGGATGACCGCATTTTCACGAAAATTCGAGGATGACGTTCTTCGCGACGCCCGTTCTGCATCCTCAAAAATAAACCGAACGTCACCGGAGTATACATAAATAATAACTCTTTCAAAGACACTATTATGGCGGCATGAGTAGGATGAAGAAGGACGTGAAACAAAGGCGTCTCAAATCGTCTCCGTGGCTAGCCACGAATTTCTGTTTATCGCGAACCGTTGACTGCCAAATTCCAATAGCAGAGCAACATTAACACGCAGGCAAACCTGAGAGCAGACGAGGCATCGGTGCTTTCACAAATGTCTCCATTGACGTAAACTGTCTTTACGACGTTTACAAATTTCCATCCGGCTCTTCAAAAATATCCGGTAGGAATCGAGTTGCGTGAATTATGTCATTTGCTTTTCTTTTTTTATTCTCTGTCGATTGGCACATTTTTCATGGAAGCTTTATAACGCTTTTGATAACGACAAAACATTGGGATTCGTTCCAACAACAATCGTTATGCAAATCGTCTGGAATTCTGCCCAGTATTACGGCTGTCGCAAGATTTTTTGTATAAAATAAATTTATTCGCGCAGAAACAATCTTGTCGATTATACAATTAACCTCGAAAATGACACTGGTCGAAGGAATGCATACAATAAAATAAAATACAGTGAAAAATAACATAATCGAGCTGTGAACAAGTGTTTTTGTTTCACTACAAATTCTGCTGGAGTTTCATGTGATGTTTTCACACGCAAAAATTATATATATAAATATCTGTGCGTGCTGAGATCTGCTTGTCAATCGATCCCCAATATATATATATATATATATATAAGTTTGGTTTTGTTGACGTAACCTCGACGCAATATATTTCAACGCTCGCGTAGCTTTCAACGCGTCTTCTACAACAAAAGGAGTACGTCCATCATTGGCTACCAGGTGGATCCGAACGGCGACCATTGGCCGGATGTTTATCTCAATTTCTAGAGATCCTTGGGGAATTGTGTAGCCTATAATTTGCGAGACAAACAACGGGTGCGATACCATTCGATAAATTACCAAGGTCGAGAAACATCCGGGCCTATAGACATTAATTTTCAGTATTGTCCCTCCCTCCAGATCTTCAGATCTTTCATAGGGAGTAGGTTAATTACGCCTAAGATAACATTTCAAGTTTTTTCAACAGTAAAATTATCGTTTGAACTGAATAATAAATGCTATGAAAATACCATAGTAAGTCTTAGGTATAAATTCAAAAATACATCATCCACTGTTTATTTTTTTATAGCACTTGACTTGTATCATCCTAATAATAATAATAATATTGCTCTATATTTAAAAAAGGATTATGACTGCAATCTAAGGGTCCTTACTCAACATCCAAGGTTGCAGAAAGAGTGACGTGTGGATTAAAGAAACAGCGTTGAGCGTGAAAAATAACTGAAAAGGAAAAATAAAGCAGGAGAAAGAAGGAACGAAAGGGGGGTGATTCGGGGGGTGTGCAACCTTAACACGATTCTATTTCTTTCGATGCATCACAGAAGAGTCGAGTGGTCAATGTGACGCAATAGGGGACGAAGGAAAAGATGGCGGGGACAAGGAGGAATCGTGAGGAGGGTGGGGGCGTCGGGACGTCGAGCGTCTCAAGACGTCTTAGCCCCAGAGCCAGACAGAACCGTACGAACTTCCATCGCGGCCGCTACCGTGGGTCCGCCATCTTTTTAACCTAGACGCACAAATCACTCTTTGCTTTGCTCTTTCGATCCTGCCGATCTGCCGATCAATCGCACGGGTAAACAAGATTTCATCGAATCGACTCGACCGGGTCACATCAATTCGCTCTCAAGTCCCACGGGTTTGACATCCCTGAGCGTCAAGAGTTCATCAAGTTGAGAAGAGCCGAGAAAGAAGCGAAAATGGTTTACGAAAGCGACTTCTACACGACCCGACGACCCTACTCGCGGCCGCTTGTGTCTTCCTACACCGTGACGGTTAGTACCATTAAAAAGAGATAGCCTAACAAAGGGAAAGGAAGCGTAAGAAGGATTGAACAATTCTTAACCAATCGACACTTTGAGAACGGGATACACTGATAGCCACGAGTTAACGTTTCAATCTGTCGTTAAATAGAATTTATTAAATTTTTATGAAAATACCTAACAGCCACTACTCAGTACTCACGTTAGAGAGGGATCATCCCGAAGGGTCAAAGTTTCAAGCGACCGAGTTCGTATACGGCTGATCAGCTGATTTTATTGTCAATGTTAAAAGAGAAAAGCTCGTCTCGTGTCTCTCTGTACTCGAAATTGAAAACACCAGCGGTACGCTTGTGTCGCTGTACGCGGTGACATTTACTAGTTGAACATAACCTACGATCGCTAAACGTTGACTCTATCGTGAATTTGCTTGACACTCTATTATCGGCTGTCGTTGCGCTGGACTTTTCATTGCCGAAAGACAATACGTCAATTTGATCGAATCGTATGTCTTAACGAGGTACGACTCGATCTGATTATCGTCTTCGTCTTTTATGAGAAGACCCGGCAGGCTGCTGCAATTTTCGAAGTCTTAACTTCCACACTTTAACTCTGAGCACTACTCCCGAACCAAGGAACACGCACGCACTCGGTGTCTCGGATAAGGATGGACGGATGGAATTCTTCGTATACGTATTACGTATGTATCTCTACGTGTAACGAGAGGGGTAAAGGCGACTAGACCGATTTTACCTGGTGTCGCTCTTTCATTGTCGTTCGACAGGAATAACGGAACTGTCACGTTTTCTTTTTGACTTTTTATGCACTCCATGACGTCACAAATTGTGTACGAAATGGAACCGTCAAACGTAACGGACGGATCGACTCAAGTCTGTGTCGAAAAGCCTCTGTACGAATAAGTACGAAACACTATCAGCTTCTCAATTTGCTAGTGTTTCATTTTTTTTCTCGTGGTCAGTTATTTTTGAATTTTCCGCCAACTCTGAGGAGACCTCAGAGCACGTAGTCAAGTGTCAAGTTAATGGCACTGACTGTCAACGGGTATCATTTGATTGCCAATATATATATAGTAATACTTATAATTCAATATGGCGGGATACGTAAAAGTATTAAATTGTATTAAAAATTTTTTTAAAATGACTTCTTTTCGCGCGAAATACAGTCAATAGGGTTTTCAAAGGCCCATCGAGTGTTGGCGGGATTGCGTTGAATATTTTGCCAAGTTTCCGTAAAATAGTTTAAACTGGAAATGACTCACTCCGGAATTCGTAGGCGTTACCCTACGTCATCTTGTGCGCGTAAAGTTATTATTAATAACAATCTCATAGCAAAGTTAAAAAAAGATATCTTAACATATAGATAGAGCGATGCAATAACTATCTAGGAGGAGTAATAGTCGTTACAGAGTAATCAAAGAAATCGTTAAGGATACTCGTAGGAAATGCGAATAGCTTTTATAATTAGACAAGAGAGGGCAGTGGGGTCACCGTATGATCTATTAATAGGCAGTCAGCCATTTTCCGGGACTGGGAAGTGTTAAACTTAGATGCCGTCGCTCCCGGCGATTCTGCTGGTCGCGAAAAATGAATTTGGCCAAGTGACTAGCGCACCGCCGCTCTCTCGATCTAAAGTGGGACCCATGACGATTTCGGCACCCGAATCCTCGATACACAAAACGCAACGGAAGCCCATAGAAGCACAGGGAGTCTCTGGCGGCGGCCATATTGAATGTCAGTAAAAACAGTTAAGGAAACTTCCACTCGGAAGGGCAGCGGAATTTCGAGCGTTCGGGACTGCAGCGAGAACTTCGAAGACGCTTTACGTCTTTCTAGGTTGGTAGAGAGGGATGCCCAAGACGGCTGCGAAGCCCGGTGTTGCGTTACGCTGCCCTAATTTAGACGCACGACGTCTCGACGCCCACCCCCACTCTTTCTTATTTCTTCGTCACAGAAATTCATACTCGGCCAGACCCTCACATGTATATATATATGTATTTATATATGCGTAACCGTGCTGGCCGGATACGTAATCGCAGCCATATGGGAATTGCGGGAGTCACTGACGTGTTTAATTAGTCAGATGATTTTGCTAGTTGTCCAATTTCATGGAGATTGTCCTTTTCTTTGTTTCTTATCAAAAAGTGTGAATACCTAGACGTGTCGGGAATGATTCGAGCATGATGAATAGACTATAAGGAGGCCGATCTTTGGGTTCCGAAAGCACACCGGAAGTGCGCGTAGGGAGACGGAGCTACTTCCGGGCGGGCTTTCCACTGCTGCACCCTGTCCTTGTTCGGCCTTCTTACAGTCTATTCTTCATGGATTCGAGGTACCATAACATTTATTGGTAGCGTGGACATTGGTGTAGCTGGTAAGATGGCGGCTTTGGAGATCAGGCTAGAATTCAATGGAGCAGAAGATAACGGGTGATTGGTAGGCTATTCGAAATGAGGTTAGATTCTAATTGACAGTCGTAAATATGGCGGCGGCATGCAAACCTTGGCGAAGGACATCGAGAATTTGTTCATCGGAATCCGTGGGGGTGTACATACATGCAACGAAGTTGACATGGATGCATTCTTCAAGCACCATTCACACTGGCGAAGAGTCTCGTTTATTTAAGGAGGCCGAGTGTAGCATCTGTCTTATTAATAGAATCGGTTATTTCAATCGTGATTAATCTTACCACGTCCAACCCCTCCACTCCCGCAGCTTCGATCCGAAGGATCTCCCTCCCCCCAAGATCGTGACACCCGCTGTAAAATTATTCGTTGCAACATCCAAAAAATTGATTCTGTAAAATTTGTAATAACGAAAAGGAGAGTTTTTTAAAAAGTAAATAAATAATCGAAGTAAACACGCACGCAAACACGTACACAGACACAGACGCACACTATCCCATGAGTCCTTGATTTCTCCGAAAATCCCAAGATCGCCATGAGCAGAGTAAATCCAAATAAGAGACGAAGGTCACGAACGGAAGGAAAGAGAGGAGAGGGGAATAAGGTGGGAAAAAAGTGTGTTCAGTAGTCGAAGAGTTGTGTGGAAGTGAAGACTCCGGTGGAGGAAGAGAGAGAGAGAGTACCGAGGAGCCTCGAGAGCGTCAGATCCCTCGACGGATCGACGGAGAAAGAGAAAAAGCTGAAAGGAGAAGGGAAATTGGAAAAAAAAGGATCCAGAATAAAAAGAGAGAGAGAGAGAGAGAGAGAGAGACGAAGGACTCGAGATAAGGGATCCATTGGATACGTTACAGAAGCGAGAGTTGTTCCCATGGGAGAAGGTCCCCTTCGTACCGCGACCATCCCTGGTCCCGGAACCGTTCACCGTCTGGGGTCGCAAGAAGCAGGACCCCCAGAAGGAGTTCTATCAGTACGCGACGATCAAGGACAAAGAGGGTAGCGTCCGGGGAAAGAATGTCGCCAAGGACGACCACACCAGACAGCTGATCCAGGGTGGGGCCATTTCGAAAGCCGGATTGGACGCCGCCGCCGAACTGGCTGCCAAGGGACACGTCTTCGAGAAGGGTGTCTTGTCCAGGCAACCTGGTGCCGAGAGACACGCTTTCGTACCTGCCACTGGCCGGACCAAGATCCTCATGGCCCTGCAGAAGCCCTCTTGGTATCGGTTTTAAGGTCACGGACGGGGGGAACAGACTAGGGGAGTGTCTTGCCCGAAGTTTTCGAACCGATCGATATTGCCGCGATTGGAAAGACGATTTTAAAAAATCGAATCGGTTTAGATCGAGATTTGTCGGAATAGGAAAAATGACATTCTTCCCTCCCACCACCACCCCTTTTTTCAATATTCTTTCAATACTCGGGTGGTAGATAATTTGCACGCTGAATAATATAGACGAGACTCGAGAAGTTTTCATTTTCAATTTCTTTTCTACGTAAAAAATAAAGGAAGAAAAAAAACAAAAAAATATATATATACACATTTTATCGCTATACTTCAACAATGCTTTTAGTCCTCAGGGTATTTACAGACTAGTTGCCGTCCGTTTAACGCTTACGCATTTTTAGTATATATTAGTTTATTTTTCTTTATCCTCTCTTGAGGTCAAGGATCTTGATTACACTATTTTTTTGATCCCACAAAGCCCAGAGTCCGGTATCGATTATTTTTTTTTGAAATGCTCACGCAATGTATACCTGCGAAACGATGACAATAAACGATGACGTCGTATCGAACGAAAGAATTGTTTTAATTTTTATTTCTTAGTTACTCATCACAGCAATACAATAAACAATTTTTTTTAAGTACTATTTAATTTTCCGATTCCATCCTATATATATATATATATATATATATTATATTATATTCTTTTAGAGCTACCATTCCGAGACATCGAGTAGCCAATCCCAACGAGCGCGTACATAGAAATACAACCTTATCCAAGACTCAGAATGAGAGAACCCATTACACTGATAGGAGTGATCAGCACGATCATTGCACAGTACGCGTACAGTAGAGACACGAACCTTTGGCAATAGCCTAGCGTTGCTCAACGCCGTCCCGAGTGTCCTGAATATCTGAGCAAGGAGACACTAATACGTAGTCTAGGTTAGGTATACCAAATCGCGTTATAATTGGCCTGCACGTTGTGTGTCTACAGATAAATCTACACTATACGTTACCTTTGACATAACCGCCACGTTAAATAATTCAATCATCAATACACTAGTATTAACCTAACCATCCGACCACCTTTAGCCACAAGGGGTCACGCAATTTTTTCTGGCTCTGGGAAAAGAGGTCCGATCAGTGCGTGCATCCAATTATAATGCAAATCATTATCTGACTATTAATTAGGACGCATAATTAATTACGTAATTATGAAGGATCCACGTGCTGATCTGATCATGGAATATATAACCATCTTGAAACCTAACCTAACCTATTTGACTATCCTCATGGAAGTATCCACGTGCCAGTCCTACTTCGTAGTCTGATATACACGTAGCCTGGGTTGACAATGGGAATGGCTATACATATATATAGAAAGTTATATATATATATATATAGCTATTGTGCCGAGTGTGAGCGTGATAAGGGAGAGCGAAGGGAATTAGAGATGAAAATGATTAGATTAAAAAATGATTTTAAAAATAACAAAAAAAGGGTTCCGCAACTCCAGAAGAGTCTTCTCCAATGTTGACCTTGTGTACCCGAATCTAGACACCCCGTCACTACGTGGTCCGCGACTATCCGGATGCTGGAGTGAGGTCTGCCCAAGAGCAGTACAGCTACTCCTACACCAACACCAGCGCGTCCAGCTCTGCTTCTTCTTCGGATCCGTACTCCCGTCCTCAGCGCACTAGCTACACCCAGGAGAACGTCGTCAAGAGGGAGAGCGGTCCTTACGGCTCGTACTCGACCGAAAGGTCCTCGAGGTCTTCGACCGGCGGCGGTCCCGGAGGCTACCACTCCTCCTACGATACCCATACTTCCGGTCGTCTGCCTGGCGGAACCACCTACCGCCATTACTCCTACCGCGTCTAAAGGAACGAACAAGCATGTCTTCCTCCTCTTCCTAATCCCATTTACGAGTTGGCTTTTCGGTTTTATTGGCACGTTTCTTCGAGAACGACACAACCCCTTGGTGTGTTGATCTTTCTAGGGGGGAATCTCACTTAAATCGAAATACGGTCTTCCGGTTCTTTTGTACACTTATTCCCTCTTTTATATTATTTTCTACAGTTTTCAAGAGTTTTATGGGGTTTTTGTTTTGGAAAAAAAAAAAAACTTTTACTTCATGTGTCCTTATCGTAGTATTCATGTGTGGGAAGTGAGTTAGAAAAAAATTGGGTGTATTATTATTTTTTCATTGATCTTGTCGCATCTCCTACTGGAAGACTGTGTCCCCCTTTTTAACCTATCCGTCCCCCAGCCTGGTCCTTGTCCTTGCAATCTTTGTACCCCGATTCACAGAAAGAACAAATGAGCTCTCTGCTGTATCAGGCAACGCTATAGTGTCGCTGAGCGTGACTTTAGTCGTCTTAAAACTGCGTCTATTAAAAATACATCTAACCAGCGAGTAACAATATGCGTTCTTAGTTTATATATGTCACATTGTAATATCTGGATACGATCGTATTTATACGTGTGTATTCTCTATGTATCACCGTACATGTAAACATCTTATTATACATATTTAAATACATATGTAGCCGCTGTTTGTATGCTATGCGAGACTCACTTTTATTGTAACCAGCACAGCCTGTAGATAGAGAATTGGCCCGGATATTATCCGCAGAAAGAAAAGAAGGAAAAAAGAAAATCAACACCGAACACGTGTCAAGAGCGGTATCGACAAGCGCCATTTGTTCCCTTTGATCTTTTGAGAAAGTGCCCGCACGACACGGCAGTGAAGATTTTCAATTTTGTTTTTCCTGTGTGTACCATTTTTTGTTGCACCACTCGCAGCCAGGGATCGTCAGGAGTCTGGTACGTAGAGATTTTCATCACTCGTCGCAATATAATACCGAATTTCGCCAAAGCCTTGTGGCATGCTAATTTGGAATTATCGAAGAAAACAAATTCTTCAAACTTCAGTCGACAAGGAGATTTTTCAAAAGTCTCCGTCGACATCTTCAAGGAGTACTAACAGACGTTAATAAGATTGATCTCGATAGACACACAACGCGAAAATTGGCCAAACATTTAAAACACCCTGTAGAGTTACACACATCATGGTCATATGCACACTCGTTATTAAAATGCAGCTATAGATATCTATGTATACGCAAATAGAGAATGGTACTCGAAAATTGTTCATTTTTTTTTTTTTTTTTTTTTTTTGCGTCGAGAACACGTGACTTTTGTAACGTCGAAAACTTTTTTTTTTTCCTTTTGATCAACATACATTCTTACACTCATATGAAAAACCGGAGGCGAATACTAACCGAGTATTTCTTTCTATCTATTCTGTCTCCCATGTGACTCCTTCGTCCTTCGCCGCCGCCGGGTCATCCAAAATCATCGAATCCAAAAATGACTTTCGCAAAACCGACACGTTACGTCAACGGGCTGCAGAGCCCCACATTCATACCACTCTCCTCGTACGTTCAGGTGAGTAATCGAAAAAAAAATGTGACGCGTCAGCGTTTTCGAAAATTATTGTCCATTGTCCTCCGGTGAAAATCATTGTTCGACAGTCCATCGGTAACAGTAACAATTGTGCGAGCACTGTGGTCTTTTTGAGGAATTTCACACAAATTTCAATAATCACTCAATGAAACTTGCAAAGAAATTACCAAAAGAAAAAAACCAGCGTGTGTATGCGTGTGGTGTGTCTATGAATCCAAAAATTCCATAAAAAACTCACAGCTTATCTTCCTTTTTTATTTATCTTCTAATAACGACGCTTCTCCACTACCCCTAACAGCACTGCATCGCTAAAATAAAAAACGCATTAAAAAAGTCACGAAAGTTGCAAGACTTAAAAAAATCGAAAAGTGCCACTGACCATTGAAAAGACCTCATTGATGGACTCTATCAGATTTCTGCTTTATATATTTTGACTTCGTTCTCGGCCTATACCTAACAAAAATGGCCGCATCCTCATCGGACGCTTCTTCACCACTCACTTCCGGCTAAATGGCACGCGGCATATCTTCTTGGACGCTTACCGGAAACGCTTGTCCATCCGCATCGCTTTGGTTCGCATTAAACACGCACGCGTTTCTTCGCATCTGCTGGCTGCCTACGTAACTTCCGCTGCGCTGCGACTTCCAAGAGCGTGTGTAGAGATTAGGCAGCGAGATTGTTACCCACAGCGAGTACCTTGTCCAGGTGAGGACGTTACCTCATCTACCTTACGTGGCACACAAGAGGCTTGTCACCATTGTCCACTCGCCAATCCACAGCATCTACCACACTGGTACACCGGTACCCATAAGAATTCATTCTCGCGTCCGGCCAAGTGTCCTTGCGGCCGAGATGAACCGGATACGTGACCTGCCGAGGGCCTCGTCGGTCTCCTACACCGAAAAGTACCTAAACTCCAAGGACAACATTGTAAGTTGCCTTCGAACATCCTAGAAACCTGATCAACTACCGGGAACCAATGAAATCATCTCATCAATCATCATCATCATCATCATCATCATCGTCATCGTCATTTCGCCACTGTCATCATGGTCGTCATTCTCTTCATAGACTTTGCCATAACACGTGTATCAGGGGAGGCGTCGTTTCACTAGATCAGAGAACCAGACAAAGTAGAAATTCGAAAATTCAAAAATTAGAAATTAAATTACAGACATTTCTTATCTTTATTTTAATTTGATTTTTCTTGTGCTTCTTCTTCTTTATCTTCGCTTCTTACGCAGTTCTTCGATGACGAGACACGCGAAATCCGCGCCAAGGCTGATTCCCTCCTACGTCGCATCCACGTCTTCGTGCCCAGACCATCACCCAGGTAATTCAATAAGTTCTGAATCCATTTTTAGGTTTGTCCTGAAAAGTATTCTAGATTCCATTCTTTATTTTTTTGTTTGTACCAGCGACTTTGCCGAAGAGATTATACCTGAGCGTCTACGTAGCGATGACTACATCCGCCGTCTTCTCGGCGCCAGGAAGAACACCAAGAAGGACTTTGAGCCCGTCTCTTGGTACGCTGTTCCGGAGCATCGTGAGCTGGGCAAGGGGAATCTTGCCTGTGTAAGATACGTAGGTGGCAGACCTCAGTCCCGCAGGAGGCCTTACTTCACGGTCGCTGATCTACGTCCAGCGAATATTCAGAACGACGTCAACCTCTTGAGCTACTACAGCAAGAATCGTCAGGCCGCCGCCAATGCCTGTGAGTAATCTTGGTGCGGACCAGGAGACATTTGATAACGGATTGACGAAGGTGACTGAAAAGATTCGTGACGGGAGACCAGGAAGCGTTCTAGCTGTCGAAATGTTTTTATTTTTCTTATTTTTTTTTTTTTTTTTCTTATTTCACGTCTTGCGTCATGACACATTTTTTAAGTATTTGTGTAGATATATATATATATATATATATATATATGGTGATTTTTTGGAGACGGTATTTACTAGGTATTGAAATTACATTTTACAGGATGCCGTTGGTATCCGGTAAATTGGATTAGACAAATTTTGAAAATGCCTGTAGGAGATTCTCCTCGTGAATACCGTCCATATGGTGATTTTTTGGAGACGGTATTTTTTTTTCTTATTTCACGTCTTGCGTCATGACACATTTTTTAAGTATTTGTGTAGATATATATATATATATATATATATATATGGTGATTTTTTGGAGACGGTATTTACTAGGTATTGAAATTACATTTTACAGGATGCCGTTGGTATCCGGTAAATTGGATTAGACAAATTTTGAAAATGCCTGTAGGAGATTCTCCTCGTGAATACCGTCCATGTTGAGTGATTAGACGAGAATCGTCTATTTGATAGAGTTTTGAGAAAGCGAAACGACAAATACGGCCTTGTGACGCCGTAGTGTGTTTACCTTATTATTATAATTTTTGCCTTTTTGGTTTTTGTCCATTTTTCTTGGCCTTTCTGTCTGAGACTTTTTCTTTTTTGGTGTTCTGTGTACCCTATGATTTTTCGTTGATCCTCTTTTTGTTACACTGTTTTCTCACGCACTGTGTCTAATTCAATAAACGTTTTTAACGTAAATGATCCTCCCTTAATATTGAAAACGGGCATAAAAGAGCAAACGTCTAAACGATTATCACCTTCGTGATAAATAGGATCGAAAATATATTTTTATTGAAAAAAAAAAAAACCGGAATATAACCCGTATAATCACGGCTATACGTTTCTATTGAGAAAACATACATGGGCATAGGAAAGTAATAACGACCCGATGACGAAGCGATGTGCAGAACACAAAGAAACCCGAGTCTATCCAACGTCCTTTATTTTTGAGTTAACCTAACGTAGAGGTCACGGATGAGATCGGGGGGGAGCTCAGGTGACAATTTTGGAAACGGAGACATCGCAAAGGAACGAGCGGTTTTTTGAACGTTTCAGGCCAGGGATGGAGAGGTCGCGTACCCGAGCTCAACGAGGACCCCACTAAATCCAAAAACGAAGAAGATGCCCCACCCGAACTCACCGAGGAATGATTAATTTTTAACTGAACCCAAAAAAAAGAAAGAAAAAGAAATTTCAAAAAAAAAAAACAATAATACTTCACTATATAGACACGTCGCAAACTCGTTAACACTGACCCCCTCATCGTTCCGTTCATCATTTTAATTTTTCTATCACGTTCGCCATGACGGCACCTTCGTCGGCAGTTTGTCACGGAATTCGCGGAGTCATGGGCGATGCGTTCGAGACGTAGATGAAAATCCAAAAATTGGTAAAAATTACCGGCACTGTGCGGGTGTATTCTTTGATTTTTCAATGACCCGAGAGAATCTATTTTTTTCTTTTTTTTTTTTTTTGGTACAGTTCTGGCTCCGCGGTTCTAGCGATGCACAGACGACCGACCCATCGAACACAAAAAACACGAATAAAACGCAACACGACAATTAAATAACACTGAACACTAATAACACGTAATCTCGATCATGCGAATATTAATTATCGAACAATTATTGTCAAACTGATCGAGCTTATGGATAAATAAACGACTTCACGTAAAGTGTACAAAGTTTGATTTCGAAAAAAAAGAAAAAAAAATTAAATAGCCAAAAAATATATTTTTTCCAAGAAAATTATAAGAAAAGAAAAACGCGCGCTTAGAGGTAAGCTTCACTGTATGTGCTTCTTACGTGATACTGACCAGCCAGGCAAAGGCCAGTCTATAATGACCGTTGACGGTGTTCAAAGTTAACGTACACGGAGTTGAGAAATCTAACATAAAAAAAAGTAAATTAAATTTTCATATACAAGGTAATTATCACGTATAAAATTTATGACTTTTTTTCTGTTAATTCCAAATACACAAAGTATTAATCCACAAGGCCTGTCTGAGCAAAAGTAAAAGGCAGACACGAGTCACCCGAGGAGGTGATAATTCGTGATGAAATAACTTTTCACATTTACGATGACTTTCTATTCATTCGCAAGCAACCTTTAGGCTTCTTAACGACTTTTAATACCTACCAATTATAGTTTGCCAGTAATATGTACGTATGCGTGTTTACCAAGTCTGCAGATAAACGTAACGCTTTGTGTTCATGTGAACGTAATGATGAATCATTCCTGGATGCCAAATCATTAAGAAAGCATCTTTATGTTTCATGTTATGTACAGCACCAGCCCAACCCCTAACCGATAGAGAAATTAGAAAGGGTCAGTATTATAACCTCAAAATATGTAAATTGTACAGAGTGTAGAATACCTGTACATACACATATGTATGTTATATGTTACTCCACGTGATGAATGTCTTACGACTAATTGTAGCACGTGCACTGGAAACTGAATACAGTGAGCAGCCCAAGAAAGAAGCTGGTAAGTCGTTTTCCTGAAACAAATCTGGAATCCTTTGGTCCAGTATCCTCTGTAAACTGTGAAAACGTGACTGGCATCCAATGTATTGCGTTAGCTCCTCTTCCGGAAGCGGAACCCGTTCGCGAGCCAGAATCCGTGCCAGAGGCTGCTGAGTCGGTCGAGCAGGAACCTGCCGCGGAGAAGAAGAAGGAAAAGAAGGAAAAGAAACACAAGGATAAGGAGGGTACGTGATGCTGGGGGGATAGGAACAAAAAATATTGACAGAAGAGAAGAATCGTCCTTCGTGTTGCTCCTTGTTCCTGTTATTGACTTTGAATGTATGGATGCAATGTGACGTATCGACATTAGACTGTTCGGAGCACGTGACACGTGATAACATTTAGCAGTGACTAAAAAAAACACCAAAATGAAAAAGGAGGGGGGGATTATACATGGCGACAGAGGGGAAACGAGGGGAAGGAATGTCGGGTGGTTAGGTGGGGTGGGGGAGTGAGTTTTTGAAAAAACGATTAAACGGGATTGCCAAAATGTATTGTTTTGATTGCAGTGAAGAAACCAGCCGTGGACGAGGAGGCTCTGAGGAAGGCTGAAGAGTTCCTTGCCAAGCAAGCGGAAGAGGCCAGGTACTTTAAAGATTTTGGGGATCATGGGGGTCAAAGTTGAAATCGTCGATTTCCGCGGTGCCGGTTTATTGACGCGCACGTGTTATCGCGAAGGTTGGAGGAGGAGAGGAGATTGGCGGCAGAGGAGGAGCGACTGAGACTGGAGAAGGAGGCGGAGGAGGCCAGGTTGGCCCTGGAGAAGGCGCAGGAAGAGGCCCGTCTGGCGGAAATAGCTGAGCAGGAGAGGCTAGAGGCCGAGAGGAAAGCCGAAGAGGAGAGATTGGAGGCCGAGCGATTGGAGGCTGAGAGGATAGCCGAGGAGGAGAGGTCACTATAACCCGACTGACCCAGTCCTCGAATTAATCTCAATCCTAACTGCCGTAATTCCACGTAACAGACTCGCAGCCGAAGCAGCCGAGGCGGCGGCAGCAGCGGCTGAAGAGGAACGTCTGGTAGCGGAAAAGGTGGCCGAGGAGGCGCGCAAGAAGCAGGAAGAGGAGGAGAGGCTGGCGGCCGATGCGGCAGCAGCAGCCGCGACTGTGGAGGCCAAAGCTGCGGAGGAACCGGAAGAAGAGGTCGCTGCCCCGATCGAGGAGACCAACCAGGAACGCGAGGAGAGGCCCGAGGAAACCGTATACGAAGACGAGGCACAGGTATTATTAGAGAATTATTATATCAACAGTTGCCAACTGTTAGACACAAGTACTGATACGTCAAACGGATGTGGATTGTCAGGTGGAGGAGGAAGTCACTTTGGCAGAAGATGAATCACAGGAACCTGAAAACGATCCATTCATCGAGGAACCCGTCGACGCCGAAGGTGGCGACAGTCAACCGGAAGTCACTGCTACGGTGGAGGACTCCCCTCAGGTCGAGGAGGTCACTTCCGCCGGCGAGGAACCCGTCGCCGAAGAAGATGCGTAATCTTCTTCCACGAGAGACTCGACCATCACTTTCATAATGATAATGATAATAATAACAATAATGTTCCTCTCTTCTCGCCCCTGTACGCGTTCTCATGCACACTTACACTTACGGTAAAAAAATTATTTAAAAAAAAAAAGACAAAAAAACGACTAAAAGATGAAAGCACACATAGGCATGCATGCACGCACGCTCTTTAAAAGATCCACACACACACACACACACACGCGCGCGCGCGCATATCGTCATCAGACACCATTATCCTAGATTTTGTTTAGTTTTATATAACCACGTGTCATTTACGCGTATTTATTTATTTATTTCAGTCATTGATTTTGCCTCAGTTACCGTGAGCATCGATACCCACGGAAATATCGAGCCGATTAATTTTTCATAAATTAATGCTAAAACGAGGACCGGGCCGTTTACCTGGCTGTAAATTGTTTACGCTCTGGTCCTCCTGGTGCTAAATTCGTACGTACAGCAGACTCGTCGCGAGGTCCATTTTTAAGGAAGGAAGGAAACAACAGTGGAAACATCCAGGCAAAGACCCTAGTGAAAGATCAGGGGGAAAAGGGGATAAATTCCTAATAAAAAATGAAACGCGACGAATGAAAAAGGAGATAGGTGATCTAGGCGACGAGATGTATCTGTACGCTTATGTACGTATGTATGTATAATTGTATACATACTATTTACTCTTGCAAGTATTATGTACTGTTAAATTCAAAAAAAGGACAATAATATCGTATCTCTTATTTTGTCCGCAATGAAAGCGAATAAGGTACCTAGATAGTCGACGATTAGGTGTAAGAGGGAGAGTCGTATATGTTTTGCGAAATACGTTAGATAACGTGAAAGAAAAAAGACGCGCGAAAATATCACTTTTTGAATTTTTCGCTACACGATTATGGCTGCCTCGGCCATTTTCATTGCGGACACTTGCGTAACTAGCTTTTAAGTGAAACTCTTATTATATTGTAAGGTACACGCTGTTGTGTCGTGTACGAGAGAAAAAAAGTCAGGAAAAATTAAATATTTATGGCAATATATAAATATATACATACATATAATTGTGGCAAAGATGCACGTGTAATGCGAATCCCTATATCTGTTTTTTCTGACATTACCGATTGTCGCTCTACGTCACAGCTGTTACGTCAAAGAAACGTGACGTAACGCCCAATGCCTCTTTTGTCTATGTAAACCTGTAACAATATACGTGCCAAGGTGTTTGGACCCCAAGAAAAGAATGTTTATTTTAATTCAGTTAAATTAGCAGAATGACCCCCGACCTCAGGGAGGTTGACTTTAACGATCTTTGGGAAACGGCGGAAGCGAATTTTTCAAATCTCACGATCTCAACAACGTTCGAGAAACTTTAAATCGAGCGCATGGAACTTTCAGGCTGATTCTTAAAATTGAATTCGTTCCTCCTATCCGTTGGTTCTCCTTAAACTGCTTACGATTAGTTCCCATCGATCGCTGCCCACTACGTATTTATAAATCCATAATTTAAGGTTCGCCGTCAATTGATCGCGAATGCTGACGAGTCGTTTCGCACGTCAGCCTGCCTAAAAATATGCGAACTGCTTTGACGGTCGGTTCGGTCGACAGAAATGGAAAAAGAAAACTTGATTTCTTTCAAAAATGTATTTGAGAGTATTAAAAATAATTATATTTATAATAATTGTTATAAACATATTCGATTCGTATGCAATTACTTGTTTCTTTTCTTTTCTCGTACGTCGAAACACTTTTTTCAACTGGCCACTTACAACCGTAGACGATGACTGACAAGCCGACTGTGTATTCGTACACAAATAATTCAATAGATGGCGCCCGTCAACTGTCACATAGATAATTGCCCAGAGCATTAAAACCTCAGTCTGTCAAAATTACTGGAGGCGAGTCGGAATGTTAACTGTACGACTACGGATACGCATTCCAGCTTCATCCGGCACTTTCGTGAAAGGTATATCGTTCCTCCTCTTTTTTTATCACCCACAATGCATCGCAGTGAAAAAACGTCAACGGCATCGCAAATTCAGAAACGCGCGACACGTTGTCACGTTTCGCCACGTTCGTTGCTGCTACCATTGTCGAAATTAGGTTACGCGAAAGATAAAGATTAAAAGCGGCCAGCCAAGCAAGAAAGAAAGACCATCAAAGAGAAGGCAGGATTATAAGCACGTTCGACGCGTTTACCCGTACCTCCTGTAAATACAGAAATGCAGCACGTTTTTTCTCAGAACCAACTGGCTGCAGATGCAAATAATAATATCAATTATAAAAAACGATCAATTTTACCCCAACGTTACAGTTCGCAAAAATTCTCATTGCTCCTAAATAAAAATCAATGATTTCATCCCTTGACGTTAACACGGTTCCACGTCATCGTCATTCAGGGCAAAAAACTAACAACGATTAAGCTCCGTACACATTTCACGACATGGTCAACGTCCACGTCTATCAGACTTTGCAGCCATTATGTGCTTACGTCACTGAGAGTTTGTACGGAATGTATTGCTAGTCAGATGATTCATATAGATATATAGATACAGGAAAATTAATAGTAACTATATATATATGTATATGTATATAGTATCATATTATAGCTACAGCGAGGAGGGAGCATACGTATTTCTATGCTATATTCACGTTACGTGTGTAGTTCGCAAGAGAGACGAAATTGCGGTATTTAAAAATGTGTTGAAGGTTGGAAAAAAAAGCATGGAGGAAACGCGTGTCCGTTGCGTGACGTTGATGATTTTGGGAAAAGAGGCGCTGTAAGATTAGCGATCGTCATTGACGTCATCAAGGAATAATAAGAGAGGGATTCACTCATCTGTCTGTCGGTTTGTCCGTCCATGGACTATATATATATATATATATAGATGGGTATGTATACACGTATGTATATAGGTAAATATAGATACATTAATAGATGTACATACATAGATATATACGACTGACATTGCACACCGACATCTTTAAAGCTTTCTTACGGTGCACGATATTCGAAAATAGCTGGTGAGAATTTTTCGTGACTTAGAAATTCCGCGATTTAGCATCGCGAAACATGTGACTTCGATAAACCAATGTCTGTCATTTTTCGTCGTCCCTCTCACCTATCCGAGAGAAAGATTCGCGGGTGAGTCATTTTGAGAAATTGAAAAAAAAAACTGTTCAAAGGGCAAAAAATGTTGATTCTTACGAATAACGTGGGTAAAGACTAAACAAATTTTTTAAAATTTAATTAATGACTGCAGGATGCTGACGATTATATATTAGGAACGTTTGGTCAGCATCAGCCAGCGAAAAATTGCCTGCGAAAACAATTGACTTCCTGCGGCTGGTCGTTTGGATAAAGAGGTTATTCTCCGTTGCACGTGGCCCGTCCTTGGCCTTCGTCGTTCCCCGAAAGATTCGCCAATTTCGTTTTATTTACTGCGCGTTTCCGAAGGGTGAAACACGTGCGCAATAATATTACAGTAGGATTTTATTTATTATCTCCTGGAATGATTTACTCACAGAAGAATTTTCGTGGGAGTTTCTGCTATTTTCGGTGATCCTAGACTAAAAATAAATATTTCAGAAATAGGTACGCGTACATACGTCTTGCAAACCTAACCTAACTAAGCATTCTTCGTTGTCCAGATTGTAGCGAGTGCACAGTGAGCGACAGGGCAAGCAAAGGTGATCACGGAGAAAATGACGTAACGACGTAAGACGTAAACGCAAGGAAACCAACCAATCGGAATCTAGTGCTGTCCCCTTGGAAGGATTCTGATTGGTTGGCTTCCTTATGGGTACGTCTTACGTCATTACGTTATTTTGCGTGCGACGGCCTTAAGTTCAGTCAACGTGTTTCCAAGTAGAATTTGGCCGCATTTTTATTGAACGACCGAATCATCAGTTACGTAATCTACGTTCGCAGCCAGACCAGAAGCATCCTGATGATCCTGATGATCCTGATGATCCTGATGATCCTGATCAGCCAGAGCATCGTAGCCAAGAGACCGGAGAGCCTTCAAAGCCTTTTTTTAAAGGCTCGTAAAACGCGGTTGGTTCGTATCCGCCACTAACAAGTGAGAAAATAGGGTGGGTAGGTGATAGTGGTAGGTAAGCAGGTGGTAACAACCCTGAGGATGACGCTGATGGTGCTGTGGGCGTACAGTACGGTAGAAGAATCGCCTGACGGGTTTTGAAGTCGTCATCGCATGACAGAGGCAAATCAATGACGACTGCTGGTGCCGTGCGTGACCGCGTTCTAGAGGGTGGTCTAACATTAGACCTCACACCGGGGTGGGTTGACGTCAGCGAGGGGTTGTCGGCGCCACCGAACGCGAATGACGTCATTCGGCCGGCTGCGGCATCGGCGTCGGCGTCGGTGCGCTGGGCGAGCTGGGGTGGATCCCGTGGATGGATTCCGGGTGAGGTTACCGGGACGACCCGGGGAATGGGGATCTGGCTGTCAGACACGTGCCGTCTCCCATTCCCTCCCCTATACCCAACCTAACCACTGACCGAGGCACAACGACCCACCCTCAGAGCCGCTGCTCCCGTCTATCGCCTGCACCCCTCCATTGGCTATCTCGCTTCCTCTTGCGATGCACCCGCGTCCTTCTTCTTCACTCCCGTCTGTCTTTTATACGGAATTGCGTTCTTTAATTTTCCTTATTTTTTTCTTCTTCTTTCACTACCTCTGCTTTGCTTTCCATTTTACCCCGTGTATCGAGGATCAGGAATGGTACGGGATCAGGTAATTTCTTTTGTTCATCAACCGACGTACCGTTTCCGGTGTCCGAGTCTATTAAGAAGGTACGGAATCCAAACGCTAGTAATTCCTTTCGCAAACCTTAATCAAGCTTGCCAATTGGCTAAGTAAAGGTTCCCGGCAACAGGGGAATGGTTACTATCTTATAGGGGTTTTACGAAGTGAAACGGACAGGGCAGACAGATGGTTGTATCTGGAAAATAATTATCTTATACCTGCTAATCCTCTTTAACGAGACCTCACTGCCCTAACCCTTTTTTGAATTTAATTTGAAATCAGCAGATCTTTAATTTTCATCTAGATCGATAGGCCAGGCCAAGTCGTTCGCTTGAGGATTCAACGATAATACAAGTCACTTTTATTTTCTTTTATCTTTCGTCGCTTCCAGTGAAATAACGACGCGACTATAAATCCTTCGATAAAACCACCGAAAAATCGAATGTCGCCTTCTCAAAGGCTACAATTCTGATCTAGGCAGAGGAAGCGCTGGAATTTACGTTTAACATACGTTTATTTATACATATGCCGCGTGCGTGTATGCAGGCATAGCGCGACTATTTATAGCAGGCGATAGGGTCAAGTGCCATCCGAATAAATTGTGCCTTCGGCGTTGCCAAAATTCGGTACCCTGGTGCACGAGCACGTGGTCATTTTTTTTTCGAATTATTTTGAAAATCACAATTGTATGGATACGACACAAGCGGAAAGTATAGGACGGCTGAGTTAATACTTTTTTTTTTAATACCGATGATTCATGAAAATTCTAAATTTCTTATAAGCAAAAAAGTTACAAAGACACAAATTTCTCATCGCACGTGAAGCCCACGTGATTTACTGTATATAATTTTTCAGTCGAACCAGTCACCGTTTTCTCGTCGCTCAGTCGATCTGCCAAAATTCGTTTCTTCAGCCTCTAGACGAAGTGTCCCGCTTCTCAAGCAACTCAAAGCGTGAATGTCAAATAAAAAATAAAAAAATCCTGTACGTTACATGCGGACGCGACTTAAGGATCCAACAGTTGCTCCACTCACAAGTAAACAGCTACGCTCGGCGATGAGTTCCAAACGTGCATTCCCGTCCGTTGGGAATCACGTGGATCTGGTGAATTCCTTCGTGGAAATGCGGCTGCAGTCGATCCTGCAGTAAGAAAAGAATATCTGAATGACTATCGGTGGCGCCATTTCGAATGAGTCACGAGTGATTGCGAAATCATTTTTTTTTTTATTCAAAGGCCACCTGCGGCGTCGAATCCTCACTGAATCTTGGAATCTTGGGGACGCGAAATTTCCAACGAAAAGTTTTAGATTTTTTTTTTTTTTTTTTTTTTTTTTTTTTTTTTTTTTTTTTTTTTTTTTTTTTTTTTTTTTTTTTTTTTTTGAACAATCGAATGTCATTGTTAAATAAATATAATTACGAAAACTAAAATTACTTAAACTTCGAAAGTCATTCAAAATCATATCCTGTTCCGCATAGGGTCAAAGTGACGTTTTACCATCCATCAAAGAGGTCAACGGATGACCTAACCTTAAGGAATATTAAGCAACTTGAACACGTGGGTTATGAAAAATAGAAGAGCTAAGAAAACCGTAATTTCTGAGGAATCTATCCGTACATGTGTACATAGGTGTACCTACGTAACTATCAGTAGAAATCCTGTAACCATCACGTATATACGTCCTGTAGGATATACTACTCTTGAAAGGCTCATCAAAAGGATAAGAGGACCGAAGTTCATCCAAGGAACGTGTAACCCCAATACGTGAGAATAAAAAAGAAAATGGATAAAAAGACAAAAGAAAACAATGTGAGAGCATCCCAGTTAAACGAACTTCCCCTCAACGTTCTAATGGCTGAAAGACGCTCGCCCATCTCTCTCCCTTGAGGGAAGAGAAGGAAGAACTAATGCGCGAAAAACATTCGCCAAATTTGGTTGGTGGTAAACGAGACACGTGGCCGGAAAAAGATTTCCAGTATTAAACCGGAAGTATGCGAGGTAACGTTACGAGCTATGATACGTATGTATACATATATATATATATATATATGGTCCATATCTTCAATTTACGTTACAAAGCTACAGGCAATTTCAAAGAAAACAAGCGGCCTTTTCGCGTCTGAGTCTACGTCCCTTCACCCCTTCAAGATTAATTTCCTAATTTCGCAGCCAGCTGCCCGCACGGCCGATGCGTTCCATCTGCGTATGTCTTGGGTCTTTGTATTTTTTGGAACCTGAAGTTTGGAACCTGAACGCTCCAAACTGGTACTGAGATACCTACGAAGAGAATGAGAGAGAGAGAGAGATAGGTCGAGCACGATTCTGAGGCAGCGTGAAGGAATCGAGGGGAAGGAGTGAAACGGAAGAGAGAAAAGAGTAAAAAGTGGGAGGGATTGAGGGGTGAACGCAGGGCGAGGGAGGAAGAGAGAGAATCAAGTACAGGGTGGGGATTCAAGTTCCCATTGGCGGAGTGGGGGTGGCATAGAAGGGTATATGCAATCGATAATATCCACGGACAAAAATACTCTTCGGTAGCTTATAGCTAACAGCCGACAGGTTTACCATAGTGGCAGCGCATTACCAGGCGCTCCCCCCCGGGACCCTCTAGTTAACGTTTTATCCTCATGGGATCGAATGAAATCTAAAGAAATATCGAAGAATTTTTACCTGACTTCCCATCGTCCTGGAATTATTAGCATCTGGCATCCCCGCGATGCGATCATTATTTATTATTGGAAAGGCAACTGACATTTCTCTAATAAACGTTATTGAAGTTAATATAATCCATTGTCGTAGGCGTACTTGATGTTATTTCAAAATTGGCGCAAAAATTACTTCGGACTCCTTACCTAAATATGGTGTATATAGTTTATTCGGAAATATTGTAGATATTTATCAATATTATTTACAATAGGCTATCAAGACGTTCGATCGCATGAAGAGCCGATTGATTTCTATACGATTATCAGCATTGACGCACATTCTTATCTTTCAGCCAATTGCCCGATAGCATCCTGTCTAAAGGTTGGGATGAAAATAAGAAATTAAACAATTGTCAATCCTACCGGTACTCGATCATAGGAATTACAGATCGATGATAAGAAGTAAGATCAATATCGTATCGGTATTGACGCACATTACTTATCGATGGAAGAATTTCTTTGGTGGCGTCTCTGTCGTCTTTCCTCACGTGGTGTACGGCGATCCGTCATCGAGTTCAATTTAATAGGCGCCTTGACGACGAGCGTCGCAAGGAAAGTCCTTCGAAGTCTTACTAAGAATTCAAAGAGCCTGACGCAAAGCGGCGTCTCTCTTGCCGGAGCAAACGGACGTTTTTGAAAATAAACCGTTACACGTAGCGACAAAATTCCGCTAGAAAAATGCCAGATGTATTTTTGAATGAGCATCGTAGCAAAAACAACAGGCTAGAGACTCATTGCTGAGTATGGCGGGTATACAGCTAATTAAATGCATGTGTAAATATGTAGGTTATGTGTAACAACGTACCATGTATAGCAATGTAAAAATTGCGAATTTCCAATGACGTCACAGAGCTTTGAGAATATCTGCGGTTGCTGTTGGCACTGTCCACATTGCTTCCATAGATGGATTACTGGTATCCCCAGAGATACAAGTATTTACTTGAATTCCACTTTCGATCTTTCTTAGGACATCGTAAAGTCTCGTTAACCTCCAAAGGTCGTGAGAAAGGTCGTGCGATAATATGAAAATGGCCAAAACTTTTCCAGCTTGTAACAGGCATTACATACCTATTGCATCCCTATGAAGATTCGACTTACCGAAATACTTTGGTCCTTGTATAATCAGACTGCCACGTTCCTTCAAAGCGTTCAGTATCCAGGAATGGCCGAATTCCAGTCGTGTAAGTATATACAGAGTCGAGTAGGCAATATTTAGGCTTAGAGAGAGCAGAGCTCCGTGAGTTATGTTGTTTAACGTTCCAGCATATCCAGTAAAATATTTAAAGCTTTCGAGCAGCCTGGGATCGTCGTTACTTACCGTTTAATGGAAGGAAGGAACTTATGGCGGTCCTCGATAGCGACATAGGTGCCGGCGATATAATTAGATTTGAAGGCAAGTACGTGATTGCATCGTGGTTCGTTCTCTGTTTGATCACGCAATTTCTTTTTCTTTATTTTTATTCACACATGTGAAGGAGGCGCGAGGAACGCGAGGTACGTTGGACGCTTCCATGGTCCGTGACAATTCTGAGTTCGAAATTATATCATTTGCTATTGACACTCCCGTAAAGACGTCCGATATTAATTGTAACGAAATGCAATAACGTCGAGACATCATAATGATGGTATTACATTAGTAAATTGCTTGAAAATATGTTTGCGAGAAAAGTATATATATATAAAAGAACGTATAACCATTATCAGCTGGGATTATTACGTTAGATATGAAAACGGAATTTCCTCGGAATTGCATAGTTTCATTCTAGGATCTATAAACTCTGCAGAAATTTGGGATAATAGAAAAAGTATATATGAAAACGTGTACCTACGTCAGGGCAATTCACGTGACAGTACAGTGGCGCAGAATACCATTTGCTTCGTAGAAAACGAGGATATCGATAATCGGTTGATCGAATGTCATGATTTACGTCATTACCAGGGAAAATGACAGCATCCTTTTCACTGTGTTGAATCACCGACCATTGTGTCGTGTCTTTCGTGTCTACGGTAAAGCATGAGCTCCCTATTGTCAGTATGGCTCGGGTACGCGTCGCTTACAGTTAGGTTAGGCTAAGCAAGTCATCCAGTTCCAGGGATTGTCAATAGATGGCGCCCTCGGCGATCGCCCTTTCGTGTCTAGTCCTGTGGCCGTCGAAAGGAGATAGGCTTTCGAGTGCGTCAACCAGGAAACCGACGGCTGATGAGAAGAATTGAATTTGTTAAAGGTCCCCACTCTAGAGGTCTACACTGGAGCTTGAAGCGACGCCGGCTAGAGTATTGAAGCCAAGCGTCCCGACGCCCGAGCCGATCAGTCTGCGCGAAACCTCCGTCGTGTTCGCTTCTCTTCTAGTTACTTTGTTTGATTTTGACTCTGTTCGTGTACCAGTGGCCGATTTCTTTATATTTTATTTTTTAACCTGATTTACGAAAGGGACTGCCGAATCGAGGAAAATATAAACCGGAGGAGTTTGATTTTTGGAAAAATTTGGAAAATTCAGGAGTAAAGCAGTGAGACGAGTTGACCGTTTGGTAGCAGGTGGAGTCCTTGAAAATCAAAAAGGGATATTTGGAATTTAAAAACAAATGGTGAAAGGTAAGTTTAGTAATTATTTACACCTAATATATATTTTTTACATAAGCTTTTTGAATATTATCCTTTAACAAATCTGTAATGATACATATACATGTAAATTTTCAATTAACTGTAAATTTATCTATGAATATGAGTAACACGGCATAGCATATCCGTCATACATTTCTTTTGGAAATATCGTGCCCTGTCATTATCAAAAAGTAAATCGGAAAACGAGGACCACAAGACTTCCTCGGAATGATTGAAATATTTAAAAATTCTTCTTCCTATCACGAAATACGGTTTCTCCTGTTCTTTCTTTTTTTTAACTGGCTTCTACTTAACGTCACCGGTTCTACAGTTCGATGCCTCTGTTGGTTCTCTCTGCCTCGCCGGATGCTTTGGCATGTTTCCACCGGAAGTTTCTTTTTTTCTGAACGTCAGTCAATTTCCTCGGCCTCTTCTACCCTTGTTACTCTTTCTCACTCGCTCTCTTTTTCTCTTTGCCTCTTTCTCTCTCTCTCTCTCTCTCTCTCTCTCTCTCTCTCTCTCTCTCTCTCTCTCTTATTATTGTCTGTGATCGTAACTCGCACGACTTGCGAATTGGCTCCCGCTACTAAAAGTTACAATGTATATACATACACTGCGATATGAGTTCCCGAGTGTCGCCTAACGGGAACATGGGTCCAACCTCTGTAAGTATGCGTATCACTATTATTGGTTTTTTCTTTTTTAACAGGTTGAGAGAGCCTTTATACCTCTCATCCGGTGGTTTCAAAAGCTTGAAAATAATCCCCTTCGCAAGAAATTGTCTCGTTTTGTACTAAAAAAAAAAAAGAAAAAAAAGAACCTCGCTGACGATGCAGTCCGAATCACAGAGGCAAAGCGGGCGCACGTGTCCAGGTATGGCATTTTTTTATTTCTCTTTTGTGTTACTCTTTATTTCTTTTCTTGACTACTATTATTCATGTATGCCCCCTCGCCTGTTCCCATCGATATATAAAACGTAGAGACGGCAGTAATCGACCCGTACAAATAGCCACGGGTACTGCAAGGAGGGACGACCGGCAATTTGCATAAAAGAACATCCCTTATAGTTGCAGCCTCGCACAGTACACATTAAAAATGGAAATTCGAAGTAAAGTCACCCTGAATTGGCGGTTGAAGATATTTGTGTCCTCGCTCGAGCACGTAATTGAATCCTCCCTGAACACAGAACGCCAGCGCACTCGACGAGCACTACTTTTCTACACGTCGAAAACGTCTGGCAGTCGAGCCAACCGAATTTATCGTTTGTTTAGACTTCCCGAGGACGACTCAGTCATCCATGATGTTTCGGTAGCATTGTCTAGCAGAACAAGGCTCGTGACGATTCTCTAGACCGTAGACCAGCAAGGAGTAGTAAATAGTGATCCTCTATTCTTAAGCTCATGACCTGCTACACCACCTAATGACAAATAACGAAGTCAAGGTCCAATGGTACGTGATTGGTATGCGAGTGTAGAGCGGCAGGATGGGGGAGGGGGGAGTTACACGGAGAAGTGACTCCTGATGCAGGTTTATGTAAAAGGCCGATAGGGTTAGGTAGCATGAAGGTAAATACAGTCAGTAGGGTAGAGCTCTAGGTATCGACGGGGCCCAAGGGTCGCCATTATTTTCACAGTCGGTTTAATTCCACCGAGAGCGAAGGGAATGACGGAAGGGAACGATAATCGTAATGGTTGCTCTAAGCCGAACGTACCATAACCTCTAAATCGTGCTGTACCCTCTATCTGTGAACTCTAACTCCACTTGATTCCAGTCAGCATTACTTCACTGAACTGAGTCGAGCTGTCAGCCAGGCGAGCGACTCGTTGGAAAAGAATTTCGTGAGAGTTCGTAACGCCTCGAGCTTCGTAATGCGATCACGAGAGGGCTAGGAGTTTGAATGCTTAAAATTGGCAGCTGATATTTTTCAAAATGATTAAAATTTTTAATCGGAATGCGATAACGATTGAGGGGTACGATATTTATAATAGATACTAATTACTCTCGTTTTACGTAATTGTCATAACGATACGGCCTCTAGGATATGAACGTAGTAGAAAAAAGAATCATAGTCATACGCATTAATTAATATACACGTTTCTCTTCTCGCTTCAGGATCACTGCCAGACATCGCTGTGACAATGGCTTCCGGCAGGGAAATCCACGGAGCATTCAGGTACGCCACGATGATTGATGTCTTATATGAATTGCTTATACACCGATGAGAATTATTAAGCCAGAAGCACGTGAAATCCGTGACGCACGTTACTCGGCCACAATGATTGAGAGGAATTATCAGATCCCAAGGTACACGACTTGGCCGACCGGCGGAGAGTAACGTCCTCTCTTCCTCCTCGCTTGGCCAGGTCAACGTATTCGCAGTCCTGGATGATCACGCAATCTAGAACTTAATACCGTGGGAACGAAACACTCGGGTATAGCTTTAGGTAACTACAAGAAGCTCAGAAAAATTAGCCAGTTGACTCGCGACTCTCCTGAGCTTGCAAACTGTTTGCCTGGCCCGTAAGTGGGTCACGACCCTTCGTTCCTTAGGGTTTAATGCACTCCAGGTACTCGATGCACCGTGAGTCAAGTTAGTAGCCTACTACGCGTTAGAGCTGCAGATTCGATTAATTATTGCGCGCGCCTGTGGCATGGTCTGGTGAACAGGAGGGCCAAGGGGGTGGGAGGGGTGCTGTAAACGAAAGGAGAAGAGGTATTTACGGAGTTTTGGTCGAAGGAGTACATTTCCGATATGACCTTCGACGAGCACGAAGTCGCGTGGGAGTTAGTCGATACGTACTATACCTTAGGAGGTCTATCAATCTGAAATGACGTTACTATTCCACTATGGGTTACGTTGCTGCAACTCGAGGACTGTCGGCTGCGTTTAACGTTGCAGGAGACTTCGGTCCGAATGCGATTTGCTGGAAACCGACTGCTGTAATGTTTATTGAATTATCTTGTATCGTGGTAGGCATAATTAGTACGCGTAAGTACTGCGGGCTCGTTTCCATTAGAATTTCGTGCAGTTACTACTCTATTGCAACTACGCACTAGTCGCGTACCTGTACTATTGCCAAGCTACAGCGTAATGTGCAAACGTGCACTGGTTATTGGGGAATGCATTTGAATTGCAGGCATAAAGAATAGAAGGGGCAAAGGGGAGGGTGGTGTTGATTCCATGGACCATAGGGAGACGGGCGCACGCACTCGTGCACATAGCTAAGGCTCTGTGTGTATTGTGTAGCGGAGCAATGACGTAACGTTGACGCAAGCGACAATTGTCGGCTATTAAAACAGCCGGAGTCCCTCCTCCGAAGTCGATACGAGATTAAATCTGGCCAGCTAGAAAACTCCACCGTTCACTCGTTATCATGGGGTTCTGTCTGACGCGGACGGGACGTTTCTACTTGCGCTTCTTCACGGCTGAGAGAAGTTCTGGCCGGCGTAAAAGCCCAGGCTGAAATAAAATGGTCGTATACCAAGATGCAACGCTCGAGTTTGTTGTGACTAGTGTTTGCCCGTGCGCGAAGGTCGAAACCGATCCTGGTTGACTAATGTTTCTATCATTCGGTTGCGTCCTTTGTTTACTTGGACTGACCTCGATCGGCATGGTCATCTCTGAACCGCTATTGTATTCAAGTTGTACTTGAAATCGGCTACTGCCAATGTAAGGCGTCCATCCGTTGGGTAAATATAAAATGACTGTAACCTGCGATGCACAAGTCCACGGGTATTTGGAGTGGACGTGTCAGTAGTCAGAAAATGTAAGACGCGACCCAGGATGGAATTTAATGCTCGAATCTTCCCTGTGCTGGATGCGCGTCGCTGGCTCGGGGATAAAAACGCATCAAGTTTCTGAAAATTGTTATTGTTTCGTCCGTGAACGAAGTTTTGCGAGTAGCACGATGATGTCTCGGGTCGGCAGGAGGCTTTGGCAATTTTCTCGCCTCCAGCTTCGCCGTCGCGCGGCTCGGTCAAATAAGTGCGATCGACCCGAGCCAGAACGAAGAGCTGCCTACGTCATTCCTGAAAGTGGAAAAGAACATTGAATAGATCGTGGGTCCTTTCATGCTTCCGAGTATAAAGCGAATGTGATTAGGAGAAATCTTCGAGTAATGGTTCCAAGTGTTGAGGGGTCTCGAGTACTGGTGCTGGGGTCGGACTTTTTGTAACCTGTTTTCTTTCTTTGATTTACAGTCTCATCGTCGATGACGTGGACTCGCACGCGATGCTCAGCGAGACGGCCGACCTGGACGGCGTTTCCACCGAGAGCAGCTCCCAGAACTCGAGCTCGCAGACACCGCTGGACAGTCCCGGAGGTCCCAGGGAGAGGATCAAGCAGATCCAGGTCGAGGCGGAGACTCGACGTGGGGAATTCGCGCGTCTCCTCGAAGAGCATGCTCAGGTTGTCAGGAAGCTGAAGATGATGGAAGCCGAGGAACAGATGACCTCCTCGAGCAGCAATGTCATTGGGCCGACCCACGCGTGATTCTGAAGTTCTCGGAGCCGTAGGATGGGACCACGCCATGTGGCCGACGTCACCTCGAAGCTCAGGCTGAAGTTGCGACTTCGAAGTGGTCGGTCGTGAAGTCTTAACGTGGTCCAGGGTGCGAGCGATGCGCTGACATCGTGCTTTCTCTCGGGAGGATTAACAGCGTAGGGTGATTTTCGGATTCCTGGGATAGGAGGGAGACCAGAGGAGGACCAGGGAGACCAGAGTCCTCTCCATTGCCAGAATGTGGGAATCTGCTAGCCAGCCGTCGACATGTACAGTCGAGGCTTTGCTCTGGCTTTGGACACTTTGGTCGTTATGTACGTTAAAGCTTCCAAGAACCCGATCAACGGACTGGCGTGGCTCCTTCGTCGTGCGGCTCTCTGAACGTGTAAGAGAAATAAATTTTCAAAAGGATCACGAACGAGCCAACACGTGGTAGTATATCAGAGCGGAAGCGGCTGGAACACTTTCGAGATAGCTGTTTAGATAGGAGTGAGAGAGACGGAGCGAGAAAGGACCTTCTTCAAATCGTGACAATAACGAGGCTACTTCGCGTCACAAGTACAAAAAATTCAGAGAAGTAGCTCGTGTTTCCTAGTACAAAGGCTCTTTTGTGGATGATGCGAAGCGAGACAGGGAATTAAAAAGAAAATAATAAGAATAGAAGCAAGCGAGGGTACGCGCGAGCTGCCGGGCTTCAGACCGTCGGTGGCGAAGTGCAAAAAGAAAGGAGAAGCTAGAAGATAGAGAAGAAAGAAGACGAAAAGTGTAGCACGGACGTCTCTCTGTCGTAGACGGAAGGAGGAAGAGGTCGAAGATTAATGGTTGTCGATAAAGGTGCAAACCGCAAGGACCTTTGTAGAATTTCCAAAGCGGTTTCTAGTCGGGGCTACAGATGGATCCAGATGGATCCAGATGGATCATTTTAAGTCGAGGTTCGAGGATGGCATCGCTGCATTCCCAATATAAGGTGGTCGTGTTGTAAAGCAGAGAAAACACGTTGTCTTAGGAAACGGCGCGCGTTACACAGCGTCGTCGTACTTATTTATTTGACGGCGTCGAATCGCGCAACTCGAATTTCAGGCCTGACGCGCGACAATGCATGGTCGCCGAGAGTTTCGTATGTAAATTATTTTTCTCGAGCGTGTCTCGAGCCCGTCCTGTCCTTTCTCTTGTAAATATATTTTTCCCATCCTATCGACAGAGCGTAACTTCTCCTCCTTAGGTCTCTCTCTCTCTCTCTCTCTCTCTCTCTCTCTCTCTCTCTCTCTCTCTCTGCGAGAGAGAATCCCCTTTGTCTTTTCTTTTGTTCCTTTTGGCCCGAAACCCTTTGACGTTAGATGGCTGCACGTCCCTTTGAGATTTCGCGAGACGCTTTAGGATCTTCTGAATCCTCAGACTGATTCCTTGAAGAGATTACGTATTCATGCACACGATACATACACGTACACACGTACAAAGTTGTAGATACTTTAGAAATTCTTAGGGCGATTAATGGAAAACGAAAAGCTCAAACGGCCGTACGAGAGGCTTCTCTGGCATTTTATGTTAAAGAGTATCGTGATTTTCATCCTGAGTTTTCTTTTTTTCTTTCCAACCATGAATTATCCTTTTAGTTGTCACTGAATATGTCAATGGCTGCCACTGGGGCAGAGGTGTTGGGCTTGGAATCGAAGTGAAAATACAATTAGCCACTTGTGTCAGGTATTCGTAGGGTTGTGTATGGAGGACCGGGACTAGATTCCTATCCATATAAGTAATAATGTATTATGTACCTCGTATGTATTATTAATAACGATTAAGCTAAAATAGTGCTGCTAATCAACTGTTTGTAATTATCAGGTGATAGAGTTAGAGCGTAGACAAGTAAGGGGACACTCTGTACTCTGTGTGGCTTTAGCTGTGCAGCGAGAAATTCACCTAGACTATTTCTTGGGTATTGAGTAGGCATACACGGATGCGAGAGTTTACACTTAAAAGATTAAAATAAGTTAAAAAACAAAACCAAGAAAAACAAATGAAAGATACGAAGTCGAGAATCACGAGTAGGCGAGAGTTAACGTATATCGGGTGCGATGAGAACCTTTGGCAATAATTTTTTCATAAAAGTTCAGTAAAAGACTGCAGAGCGAATTAACAAATAATAAATCTAAACGGTAACTTGATTGTTCTTACTGCTATTATTATTATTATTATTATTATTGTTGTTGTTGTTATTATTATTGACACTCGTTTATCAATTATTACGAACGGGAGATTTCTATAAGAACGATGACAGCGACGATGACGATTGTGACGACGGTAATAAATGATTATAAGGATCAATTTATGATATTAAAGGTGATTATTAGTGTTATTACCGTAATTACTGGTCCTGGTACTACGACTACTGTTAGTACTGTAAACTAGTGATAATTTCTAGCGATATACATCTTATCAATTTTGTAATGAAATGTTTGTAAAAAGTTAATGAGATCAGTAATGCTGCTTCTCCTCGACCTCTCGTTATCGTTGATAGGTAAACGGCGTATTATTAGGACGATGCAATTGACACGTCAATGTGATGGAATAAATAAAAAGGTCGTCTCGTTAAGAATCAGCAAGTGTGAGAGAAAGAACAAAGCGTTTCGATGACGCGCGACGTGATTGTTAATGATATCTGGACGTTAATCGATTAAAAGTCGGCCGGTTTGTTGATTCTCAAAGAGCGACTGATGACTTCCGTGACATGATTACCAGAGATAAGTAAGCACGCACGTATGGCGAGAAGCATGTAAAGTAGATAGTCGCTATTGTACATTGAAAATATATATATATATATTTTATTGAGTTGATAAAACGTATATACAATACAGCGTTTATCACAGTAACCCGTCATAATTGATTTCGATGAAGCACGCTGAAGATTCGTTTGGACCATCGATAAGAATCTGCAGGAGCGATGCATTTTTTTTTGAATTTTAAGGAATCTCAGAAAAATCCATCGAACGGGTGATCTTCTTTCATTATTTCTGTTCGCTGTACAATATTCTCGTTTAATGTAATAGTTTTTAGATTAATAATTCATCGTGAATTACGTTAAGTTTCCATATTACGATTGTGTTCATGTTATGGTTTATGAATACATGGAACGTTTGTTCTCCTTTTTATGCAAAATATATGTTGAACAAGTTACACAATACACGATAAGAACAATTACTTCTTAATATAATTTTAACTCACGAGCACAATACCGGAACGTCAGTAAAGAGAGTTTTTTAAGATCACTTTGATAATTTGTGGACCTATTCTAATGCAAAGGATCCTGAACAACAATTGTTCTTTCCGCAAGGCTTGCGCGTGTATTGTCGTGGAAAGTTATTTTATTGAGTAAATAATAAATATCTAAAGAATTGATGACTTTAATGAAAGATTTTTGTCGGACTTCTTTTACACGATTTCAACAATAATTCTACCAGCCGGTTATAGTTTGCGAGAGAGACATCGTTGAATATAAAGATAATGGCTAGCAAAATGTCAAATTAATACACAGTTAAGCGTGAAAGATCTAAACTTTTCTATTTGACTTATCTGACCTAGCTTTAAAAAGAAAAGTAAAAAATGTTTAACGTAAGACCGCTCTGTCGGGGGGTCATGCTGATGTCAAAGAGCTCCGAAAAAAGAGGGCTGCTTTGAAGCTGGAAAACTCGAATGATCGATATTTAAATAATCCCAATGACAATATGATACATCGTTGAGCGAACGTCTTAATTTCATTTGTAACATAATTTTTCCAGTTACAAGGAACAACGTTGCAGGCAATGGAAAGCATGGCACGCTATACCTTCGGATATATCGTCCTATGTTTATATAACTTTAGCTCGCTCTTTTTTAATATAAAAAAAGTATATGACAATGATTGATTACCTACGGCTCCGTCGCCCTGCGTTGCGAAGCGAAGAGCATCAGCGTATGACTCAGCTTGACGTTATGGTCTCTTAAATATCTAATTAAATCCGCTTGCTTCTCTAATAATTCCGCCACGTTCGAACCTCTCTGTTGGTAGCCAACCTCACCGCTGCCGGCATACGAATCTCGAGTAAACGAAGCCAACCATTCCTCACGTGTTACATCCGGTGGCGGACGTAAACGATTAAAGCGAAGGACTCGTTCTAAACAGATTAAAAGGATTCCATAATTTTGGTTACTATTCGAATTTTTGTTTTGTGGAGGTTTTTCGTTTAAAATTAGTATACTTACTGATATAGTTAACATAAACAGGCACGATGATTATCAACTCAAAAGTTGTTAGGAGTACAATGTAATTCAATGGTGTGAACCATTCCGATGCTCTGCAGTACTTCTCATAGTCCAGTTTATGTGTATGATGCAAAATCACTACCAGAAGTAGGTAAGTTGTGTTCCATAAGGATGCTATGAAAAGTGGCGTTCTAATGTGCTGGTATGTGGACTGGTAGAAATCGAGGTATCCCGATATCCGTAAACCATGATGCTTAAATTTCAGGAGATAATCCGTAACCATGACAATCATCCAGTATACACAATGAAGATAGAGGAATATGAAGTACGTATCACATTTGTCCTTTTCCTTTGGCCACAACGAGACAAATATTATTCCAGTAATTTCCAATGCAACACCAAAGATCAATGGTATTGATGCAATCGGTGCAGTGTCTAGTTTGTGAAAGTGTTCCTCTTCCTGAGACGTAAGAACAGGTTGAAGATATTCCTCATCATCCATGTTCAAAGAAGCATCAAAGAAAACAGCACCCTGTAACAAACCATAAGGTGCAGGTAATGTAAATAGTTCTGGCATCTAATACAAAGTCAAGAGTTATTGTTTTCATTGGCGCTTTGACAAAGCAACAACTATTTTCAGAATGACATTTGTGCATAGTTATATTTTCTGTAACAAGCAATACTTTCTGTATAAGATATCAAGTAATCTAACATGTGTAAAGTTACTCAAGAATATTTTTCTATATAATTAAAAAGAAGTCAAGGACAGAAATGTGCCTTCGGTCTTTAAACATCTGTTAGCAGGTTATGTTCGTGATTGAAGTCAATGACGGATAGAGTTGCTACAATTTGAAAATTTGTCAATAAATAAATTGAAATGTCCCCAGTGCAATTTATGTGTACTTACGCCACCGGAGGTATTCGAACTTCGCATTAAACTGACCATTCCCGGCAAAAGTCATACGAAACATCAATATATAAAATGAGATGTGAACTTTGCACCAGAAAATTATTCGATGAGACTATAGACATTTTCAAGATGCAAAGCTATCTCGCACACCTACGCGCACGGCAGAACTGATCCGAACAATACTTATCGTATGACACATACTGTAACTATGGGTTTTTCATTATTACGACTACGAGAAAGAGACGCACATAGCACATTAACGCGTTTCACAGAGAAAGCGAGCAGTCGATACCCACGGAATAAATAAGCGCCATTTGCGAAACCATCTAAACGTCAATTCGAATTTGACACTTTCAAACGTAAATTTCTCATTCACGCATTACCTGACTTTTCCTCCTGCGGACTATTTCCAAATGAAAATTTGTTCTGCCACAGCAATCACTAAAATTAGAATCATCAACCCTACTCCGTCACACCAGTGAAAATGCACAATGCGAAATAGGGAAGAAGTTGTCGCGATTGAAGCTTTGAACGACACGCCATCTATAATATTTTCCACTACTCGCTTGATGGAAATTTTTTGACAAAAGAATTTGTAACGAGAGTAAGTAATAAATTAAATAAACGTCACTTTTCTTCTCACTCGATTTGCCATTTTTTCATTTCAATCAAAGGTCAAAGGTCACTAATCTTTTTAAGATTTCCCGGAATTTCAAACGGAATGCAAATCCCACTGTTGGCTAGGTCGTTGAATGAATGATATGTATGTGTATAACCTTGCGTATTACCTTGAGTCGTGAAAACATGACATAACATTTTGCGGCGTTCATTCAGTATATTTTGACTTTAGTGGAAATGAGAGTGATAAATTAAAAAAAAACCTGCAAAAACATACAAAGGAAATAACGACTATTGAATGTTATTTTTTAACTCACCATTATACCTCGCATATGTGGTTACGCGATCGTATGAATCTCATTGATACTGTGTTTAAGATTTTGCATAGTAAACTAATTGGATACGACAATCTCCATTAATCTAAAAGTAAGTAAAATATGTAAAACTCTTTTAAATAACTTATGCTACGATTTCTCACATTATTTGCATCACATAGCAAATAAGAATTTTGTGAGATACCAGAAATACTGATATGTATGTAAGTTATGGAAGATTGTTCAAAAAACAAAATTGTTCACATTCAAAAGAATCATAATAATTCACTCGGCAATTCCCTAACGAGAAAATTTGTACCGTTATTATTAACAAGGATTTGTCATCCTGTTTTTCATTCCTTATTCGTTGATAGAAATTTTATACAAACTTAAACTGATATATGATAAACGCATATTGAACAAGAATGACTGTAATTGGAGGAATAGCTTAATATAATTCTAACTTAAGTTTCAGATGACAGGATTTCTTCAAATTTTGATCAATAAAGTACTGGATGCGTAATGATAGTAACGATAAGGACGTTAATCGATCAATATGAGAGAAACAGTAAGATGTGCAGTGTAAAATAAAATTCTCCCGTTTGTGCAAATGATTATTCAGGGGATTAATGTGCTAAAGATATCCGAGGATACAATTGTATTAGTGAATGATTATAATTGAATTTATTGTCTCTAACAGAGTAGGAAAATAAATCCTTTAAACCTTAGTCAGTTTCATCAAATATTCACTGGGTCATCCGCCTTAGGATTACGGCTACTTAGGGTTAGTGTGATTAGATGTAATATCCATCGGTCTGCAGTTTATTGGGAATCCCAACGATATACAGAGAAATTCAAGCTAAAGTCTAGCCAGTCGGTTTGTGTCTTTGAGAACGCCTGCGCATATCTGGAACACGTGGCTGAGGAGTGAGCTTTTACGCGGAACCCTCGAAGCTTGCAGTCTCGCGCGCTTTGGCTTGTCGAACGTTACGATTTGACCGGAAGCATCGATCGGTCATAATAATTTAATAGAATAGGTAAAACTGTAAGTGAATCCATTTAAAGTAAAAGCACGAGCGTCTTGTAAAAATTTGAATTTTTCAGTGTTGGGGAAGATAAAATAAAATCATGTGAATAGAAGACCAAAAATGGAAAAGCTTCTGAAAAATCTATAAACACTGTTATAATGTTTTAGTGATAAAGAAAATCAGGACAGAAAGCGTCGATAGAAGAATTGGGAAAAATGAAAAAAAAATTATTTTGATACTTCAGCAAATATATGCAAAGTCAAGCTGAGTAATGACCGGCAGGATCAGTGAATCAAGAAGCCTCGAAAATAGGTGCACTTCCATAGCTCACTGGTGAGCTGGACATTTTCAAAACGTATCCACGTTATATAATATAATTAAAAAAAAAAAAAGAAAAGAAAAGCTTGAAGATTCCGTAACGAGATGAGCAAATCCTCTCAAGATGAAGGTGCGGCCGAATCCGTCGCCCAAGAAGCACCATCAGGTGGAACGCCGAAAAAGACGCCTGCGGACATCTATGAGAATCCCGGTGGTTCAAAAAAGATCATTCGCGTGCTCACAGTATTGGCATACATGTTTTCTGTGAGCTTCGTCGGGATCCTCCTTAGCGCTTACTACGTCTTCCTCTGGCAGCCTCCAAATCCTAGGTTACTACACAAGGCTCACATTCAGGCGGATCCCCAGTTTGAATTTCTTGTCGGCACTCAACCGGCGTCTTTTTTCTTAGTAGCAAATCGTACAAAGGATTCAGATGACAAGACTGTCTCTTCCGGCGAGGATCCTCAGGAAGCCGTTCAGAAAGTAACGACTTTTGCTCCGCTCAAGAGTAGCCCAAGAAAATTTAACTTTTATCCGTCCTCGTCAATCGACAGAAACCATATGAATCATAATAAGAGCGAGGATAGATCCCATCGTGTCAAGCAGGATGCTGGGATGTCTTGGAGGTCCAGCAGAGTTGAAAATTTAACAGACTCCAAATACCAGTCAAGGGTGTCCTTGGGAAATATTTTACAAAGATCAACTGTAAAGACTCAAAATATAAACAGGACTAACGAGACGTTTAATACGGTTGCGTTCGTTAAAGAGAAAAACGAATCAACTTTACCTGTAACTTTTCTTAATAACAACGATGAAAACAGAAGAATTAACGAAATCAAAGTTAACTTCACGAGCTCCGACGATTTTAGCGGTCAAAGTCTAAAAAATTCTTCGAGTCGGAATTTGACGTTCAACCAGCTGGATGAACCCGAGGAAAGTTCAAATGAGATAGAAGTGAATATTCCGGAGGATCTCCAAGAAGATCTACCAAATCCTGCGCACTCGGAAGAAAACGAAATTATTGGATCTCCCGACGTATCGCTAATCGAACCGAAGATCATAACGAAAGCCAGAATTTCCGAGAAATCAATAGAAGAAAGTACGAATGATTGGTACACGGAGATTAGGAATGTTTCGATGTATTCGATAGGTAAGTCAGGCCTGAAATTCCCATTGTTTACCAGGAACTGTGAGACGTCCCTGATAAAAGGAGACTGATTCAATATACATTGATTTTGATTCGACTATAGCATTTTCATTTCTAGACAAGAAACGCTTGCGTCACTCAGCGATAATCTATTCCATAAAATTTTATCGATGAGAGTCCATTTCTGGCGCCGCTACGCTGCTTCCATTACTAAGGCATTTTTTACGTCCCCATAACAGAGTTTGGAAATTCGCATTTCATTCCGCGCAGCAGCTCCGACCGCAATAATAATAGTAATAATAATCCAGAGACGAATGAAATAATACGCAGCAAGTCGATACAAGCGGATCAACAATCGTCGTGATCAGCAGCCAATCATTTAATCCACGTGGTGCTTTCTCGGTAGGATCACATAAGGGGCAGGCTGAAAGTAGTAAGAGAATAAAGAGAGAGACACCAAGGGGATGGTAGTAATAATAGCAATACGCAGCGGGCGTAGGTAATTAAAGCCTTAGAAATAAGAGGGGTGGATTGGGGGCTGTGCACCGATTATCCCCGCGTGGTGGACGTAATAAATGAAGCAGGGTCAGGTCGACCAAGCATGGCTTCCTTCCAGGAGTTATATCATTCTGCATTCCAAAAGCTCCGTTTAAGCTTCTTGTAGGACATGGCAATGAAAAACACATTTTCGACATATTTTACAGAATTATCCTCTGTTCGGTTTCCCTTCGTCTGTTATTTATGATAATAGTGATAAGAGGGGATGAAAAGTTTCCCAGGTTGAAGAAGACTGACGCATGGAGCACATAGGTATAATAGATACAGTGTTTGCCAGAATAGCGATCGAAGGGTGCGTTGTGACGCTTTTAAAACAAAGGCGCGCCACTTCTACGGTACAAGGAAAAAAACAAACTTTAAACTACGTCTTTCTCTTGAAGACGTGCGTATAAGACATTTGTTTTCATAGACCGTTTCATCTCTCACTCGGAACCATTTTGTATGAACAATACAAATGATCCTCTTGGCATGAAATTAATTCTGAAAAATATATATTTTATTGCCCAATACCTTGAAGTTTCCTTTGCGTAGAATTATTCATTGAGCATCATTGAGCATGCAATAAGGTTGCATTCGGTTGCGGTGGCAGAAGTGCTTGCGTAAGAAGCTTACGTAATATTTAAAATAGCCTTGGCCAATAAGTCCTTCCGAAGATTCTTACGTATAGAGGACACGAAAGTTCTTGATTACGATAAAGAGGTTGTTTTGCCGCCCGTAAATTTTAAACTTCAATTTCCTCGAAGTAGACTTTTGGCGATAGATAAACTTTAAAGTGTCGATCAGGCAAAATTTCTTATTTTTTTCCACTTGAAGGTGGTTACGGAACAAGATTATTCTTTACTAGAGCTTCAAAGACTTCGTCAAGGTCCACCCAGAAAAGAATGGCATCGTTATGATAGTCGAGTCACTAGTAAAATCGCAGCCAATGGCAGCGCACTCAAAAGCTCAGACCTCCATCGAGTCATCGGCGTGAATCGTGCTTAGTCGAAGCTTTCCCGAGTTTGCGCAGTTTCTCAAGCTTCGTCCCGAACTCGAGCCTGGGTGTGTTTTAGCCTAGCGTACACAAGAGGCGGTGTACACAATCTGAAAATAGCTCAGGCAAAGGAGCGTGTCCGAGGAGCAATGGGTAAGCGTTGAGAGAGGCAAAGGCTCGAATCGCAAGCTCGGAAGTTCAAAGTCAGGGGCTGCAGTATTTGTTTGAAGTGATCGGATCGAGGCGAGGAAGTACAACCTGAGCAGGAGCTTTTACGTGCGTGGCTAGCGTCCGTATCGACTGTAACATTCGAGCTTCCAGAAAAGTAACGTCTGCCAAGTAAGACAGTAACAGACTTTATCCAAGAGTATATAGCGCGCGAATATTTGAATATAAATGAAAGGGGAAAAAACTTGTGAAACTATCTCGATTTACAGAAACTCTTTTAATGTCCGAAAAACCATTTCGGAAGGCCTAACCTCGTGAACGTAAAATAAAAACAGATGCGGCAAGAGCCCCTGGGCTAACGGCGTGTCCACACTGGCAAGGTTCTTAAAAAGGGATCTGGCAACATCGCTATATTTTTGCGGTTCATTCTTTTTCATTATGCAAGAAAATTAAATAACTGGAGAGGTGTACCTCTTGTTGCTTCTGATTGGTCTAATAAGTTCAGTGGAAGGTTGGGGGATGACTGCGGGCAAACAATCATCTAGACTTTAAAGGTGTATACACAATCAGCGACCTGCTCACGTGCGTTTGTGTACGTATATCTTCCTCTTTTATGATCAGACTTGACGTTTATGTAGCGCACGAATTTGCGGGTTGTGTGTTACCAAAAAAGATAAATTTCTTTACCCCAGACATTTATTAACGCATCGTCGAATGTCATCTTCGAAATAGGCCACGGCCTGTCACAGGCTACGAGAATTTCTAAAAGAAATTTTTAATAAAGGCAAGAAGGACATAAGGCTTTAATTAAACAAGGTAAAATAAAAGTATAAGATAAATATCGAAAGATGCAGCTACCACGAAAGATGAGCGCACAAAATGTGATGGCCAGCATAAGTCGTACTTTGGGAAATCGAAACGACAGCAAAACTACAGCAGCGAATGAGGTGAAATTTGCCGGAGAGGAAAGCAAAGACAAATTGTACGAACCCAAACACAAGCAGAAACTCGTTCGAGTTCTTACGGTTGTGGCCTATGTTATTTCCGTAAGCCTTGCTGCTATTATACTTTCCTTGTATTACACTTTCATATGGGATCCCAAAGATCATTCCCATTACATGATAAGACAAACAAAAGTTAACCTCACTGCCAGCAGAGTGGAATGTGTCAACTTGACTCTGTCAGCTGCTTTGTCAGAATCACCAGGAGGAAATGGTAAACACACAAAATGGTTACCGTACAGGTCATGAAAATTCTGCAATGCTAAGTAATACAGTTCATGAAATGTTTTCATCTTATCAATGGTAGTAATGAAACAATTTTTTTTTGTGATTACAGAAACACTAGTCAACAGAACTAAAACCACTGAATCATCAAGAATGGATGACCTAATGATGTCGTCGACAGAATCTACCCAAAGTGTTGTACCACTACAAAATGATCTGAAGGTAGTTCGACATCCTGAAGATACAACGTGGACGGAAACCACTTCTGAAACTATCATCAGTACTTTCGGGACAGCGAGAACTGAGTCCGAAGACAGTACGGAGAATTCAGAGACGATCGACAAGAATCGTTGAATATGAATAATTTTGGTTCCTCTATTCTCCAAAAGACCAAACGAAAAAGGCGTGTCGTAAACTTTATCAATGTTAACAGTTGGCATATTAAGAGACATTACGAGTATTCGCATTTAGGCAGTCATAACATTTAAATACGTTAGTCTATAAAAAAGTAACATAAAATGCTGATACACGCGCAGGTTCGCGCTTATCTGTCCCAGACTCTAGATTCCCTAAATTAAATATTCGACACGTGTTTATACACTCCATCAAATCTATGATAGACAAATTTCTAGCTCGTGTGTGTTGTGCATGAATCTAAAAAAAAGACGCCTTATCAATTAAGCTTTAATATTGACAACTATTTACACGTAGTTTTTTTTAGCGAGAGCACGTTCTGGTAAAGTACTCAATTATCCTTTCTATTATAATAATATTAACAGTCAACCATCATCCTAATACTTAACGTACGCTTCTAATACAAGAAACGAGACATTATTTTTATAATTTGTTCGATCTTTAAAATAGTTGTTAATTAGTCGTATATAAGTGAATTCGTATTACAAAGACATTATTTCGAATGAATATACATTTCCTATGAAATATAACGGCTGTTTATTATTAATATAGATACATATTATATACAAACAGATTTCTTGAATATTCTCTACTCGCCCGTCATGAGCATGTGAACTGTCTTTTCCGAAGTTATCATTCTGCCCGCCTTTTCTGAACCAACAATGGCAGTAAGTTGCATGGCATCGTATTTACAATACAATGTGGTCACTGTCATATTGCTATTAGATCCCGCACGTGGATTTTGATTGGCCTCCTGCATAAGATTGCATATCTCACTGTAAAAATGCGGGAAGGTAGGTGGTGCGTAAAATATAATATGTCGCACACCCTTTAATCTGATTCGCCTAAAGAAATGAAAGCGTTCAGAATAGATGAGAAAATGTGCATCACTGTGGAAGAACATGTCTCGGGCTCTGGCCACTTTCGAGTCTTTAGAATATTCGCATATTTGTACAAAGCTTAATTCCTCTTTCTTAAAGTAATTTCTGAGCTTGACGAAGTCAAAGTAGGAAGGCACGAAGATCAGCGTATGGTTCATTATGCTGTCCTTATACTGAGGTAAAATCTTCGTTAGGAAGAAATTCATCCGCGCCTCAATGGCTTGGGAGTGGCTGCTGACGTCGAATTTCTGGAAAACCTGGGGCAGCTGAACAAGTACCTGACAGACAGCACCAGAAGATATAGGATTAGATACTTTGACCTTGCCTGCGTAATTAAAGCACTTCTTGTTGAAGATCGCATTAATTTCTGGAAGCTGGACACTGGAGAATATCAGGGATTGTCGGTAATATTTGGACCAGCCGTTTACTGACCAGTTCCGAACCCTGGAGAAATCTGTCCCATGGGAATCTTTAGGCTGGAGGTGTAGATGGTTTAAGACATGGAGAAAATGATCCCAATTTTGCATCAAGAAGAGTTCAGTCTGATCCGATATTAGTAATTCAATGGATGCTAGGAAGTCATGGTCACGGTCAGGCTCACCTTCAGCACCTACCAGCATCCTCAATCCTAGCACTGAAGATATTATAATGTCAGATGAATAGAATTCAGAATATAATTTTAGAGTCTTCTTTGTTATTGATATTCCAATCTTAAACGTATCGTCTGTGTTTCCTTTGAATGTAGACTCGTAGTCTTCTGGCTTTGGATTTCTTTTGGGTAAAGCTATCTCATTGCCACTGAAGTCTTCCATGAATCTTTTTTTATTTACTACAGAACCACCTTTATCCTCACCAATTAGAATGGATATCAGGAGCTCTACAATCTTTAGACACGAATGCCTGAAAGGTACTATTATAAGAACTTTGGGTCTAACTAGTCCCTGGTCCCTGTATTCATCTGGAACCTCACTTATGTCCGATTTCTTTAGTTTAGATAACTTTGCATTATGATGCAATACTTTTGTCCTAGTTTTTAAGACATGATTAATTGTGTGCAAACAATATATAAACCGAATTTGTTTTTCATTTTTAAAAGTCCTCTCAGAGTAATATAGATCTTGGTAATTATTTATTATAGAAAATAATTCCTTTTGCAATGGAGTTAATGGACTTGGGTTTGTATCCAAGGTATCTGTAATACTTTCGTAGTTGGCTCTTGTGATATTGTTTTGTATCTGTGATTTTATGTGCAGCTTGTTCCAGTTTATCGTATTTATTAAATGAGGAACAGTACCATGCTGTGCAAATTGCTTTTCTTCTAAAATGGACACTTTTAGTTTTTGTTTTGGAGATTCTAAATCTTTCTCAGATACTTTAGGTATTTGTATAATTATAGTACCTAGAGTGGGCCACGTTAATTTCTGTGTCTCCATTGTTTGAGGTACTGCTGATACAGCTTCGTAAAGATTATCACTAAGGTCATTTCGTAAATGAATAGAGAATGGATCTCGAAGATTTCCTGCATCCTCCCGAGCAGTTTCTGGATCTTCTTCGTCATCTTCTTTTATTTTTATTATGTCATCATTCTCATCCACCTCCAAGCCATTATTCCCATCATCTGAACCCAAAATGTCTTTACTGTCTATTGCTTCTACACTTTGCGATTTATACTCATCCATTTCTTCTTCAGATTCAGAATCCGATTCAATAGCAACTGTTCTTATACTGTCCGCACCACTAAAAGTTGCCAATAAAGCTTTCATAGGATCATCCTCTTCCTCTTCAGAACTGTCTGTTTCCAACTGCTGCTTCCTGGCATTTTCCTCTTCTATTCTTTTCCTTCTGTTTTCAATTTCCTCATTTTTGGCTTCACGTTCCTTGACGTAGGACGCTTCACGCAAGTTAAATTTTCCCTTCTTCGGTTTCGGCTTATGTTCATGACGTCTGTCGAATTTCCTTTTTCCACCACGCACAGGTCTCTTACCACGTGCCATCGTGACAATAAAACTTGATATAATGCAACTTAAGAAAAGTCCGCATGTCCTTACCACTTCACCATCCGAATACCAAGTGCACGTGGGTCAGGCTAATAAAGGTTACGAGTAATAATTTTACGTATAATCTTATCTTGACAATCGGTTTTTTGTTACCTTATTCAGAATTCATATAATTATTACAATGAGGAAACTTGTCAAGCGATAAATCCAAAAAAAAAACTGAAAACAATACGTTTCTCTCACTCACAGGTTAAATTTATACGGTTATAACCTTTCTTAAAGAATGAGTCAGGTTAAGTTAGTATGACGCCGGGTACCGTCGCAGCAGAAATGAAAATTGCATTCGGCGGCGAGGTGTTAGTAAAGTAAACAGTTTTATTCCAATTTCTTTGAACGAAGTAGCAAATAAATAAACTAAACGTGTAAAGTAAGGTTCTTCGAATACAGTAAGTATAGAGAAATAGTGAGACTATTAAAACGTATTTCGCAAAATTCGTAAAATTTTGACAATTCAAGTAAACTATTCTGTTTCTCGTGTTATAAAATACATTCTTCAAAACGATTGGATTATTTATTCGTGATTGGCTTCGTAGAAAGCCAATAAAATAAAAATCGGTGCGAAGTACTGGTCTGTAAAGCCTGTACTATATGTAGGCATGTTTTTACGCATTGCACAAAGAGTGAATTGAATATCGATGAATCCAGAAGAAAGGCAGGTTGACCCGTGCGTTCCTCTTCGTGAATTGATCAGTAATTGGTCAACGAGGGCAAAATAATAATGCACTCAATTTAGACTAACAATTACTACGACGTGCCTATAGAATCGACGTTACGCTTTCTCCAACATATCTTTAAGTAACAGAAACTGGCATTTTATACTATAAAGTATAACAATTTCAAAAGATAGTAAGGTTGTTAATAAAAAAAAAATCACATATTTAAAACTACTACTTTTGATATCGTGCAACCATTTATAGGCTAATAGAAAAAATAGGACTTGGCAAAGAATAGTTTATCGATGCTACTGTATATCTGAATATATAATTAACAGGCACTTGACGGCATAATTAATAAAACGGTGCAATACTCGGGAAGACGTTATCATTAGTTGCCGGTAACGGGGAGAGTCGCTCGCAGTTGCCTTGTTAAATGCGAGAGCGAACAAAGTCTAGCGCAGTATTAGATAGTATTAGGCCAGAAGCGTATTCGCTGGAATTCGCGAGGGAGCGTAGAAACAGGAAGTAGCGACAAATAGGGCAAAACGAGTTAATCGTTTAAAAGCTTGTTTACAAAATATCCGGTGGCTGACTAGGGGACACTAAATTACAGAGTCAATCAAGAAGATCAGAAGATTGGAGAAAGAGTCGTTGCCACCGTGTCCCAGTTTGATCGGGGATTGAGAATGGAGCAAAAGCAGCAAGGAGTGACAACGAGGTAAACGACGACGAGGACGAGGACTGACGAGGACGACGGGAACGACGAGGAGAGGCGCAAGAAGAGTGAAGTTAGTAGACAGTGGTGCGCGCGCATCAACAACAGAGTGCGAGCTGCGGCTCGCAAGGCAGCAGTTTCGCTGTGGGACTGGGGCGCCCTTCGCAGGCCGCGGACAGGGCCGGTGCGCTGTGAATAATCGTGATATCCAGTGGTGACGTATTGGCTTACTATTTAACGCGAGTTAGAGTTGTGAAAAGGCCGCAAAAGGAGCTGGAGCTCGCCGTGCTACGAAACAGGCGCTTGTCGAGGGTTTTCTTGTGTCTGATGAGCTCCTCCATTGCACCTCTGGTGGTAAGATGGCGGTGCAGCTCGATGGAGGGGGAAAGGAGGACTTGAAAACACAGTTTGTCACGCGGGAGGGAACCTACAAACTGATGACCTTGTCAGAGTATTCGAGACCGAACAGGGTGGGCTACACGAACAGCCAGGGTAGCACCTCCGTCAGGGTGTCTTTCGTCACTCTGCCGGATCCTGCCGACCCTACGGGCACACAGGGTCTTGGTGACCGAATGTGTTTCAATTTCGGCAAGGAACTCTACGTCTACGTTTACCGGGGAGTCAAGAAGGTAAGACAGGCACGTCTTTGACGAGACAAACTTCCTTCAACCTTTTCTGTCCTGGTTCTATCCTCGATATCCTACCTAACCTAAAAGGCCTGCTGCGAGACTCCATTTTTACTTTCTACCACCACACCTATCGTGCTGGCACGATAGATTCCTGCCGGTGACACAAGGGTAGCCATGCAATTGTATGAGGTTCACGCTTTTCATTCTTTATTTCGTGAAACAGGCCTTTTATCTATCACTGATGTATTTAAAATATCTCACTTTATGCCTGTATCTAATCATCAGGTGTAATTCTACTCCTTAATGGATCATTCTGTTTCACTGACATGAGTAATTTTGATTTATTTACGAGAACACGACATTATATTTCACTGAATTATTCATGCACATTGCAAAGAAATGTCAATTCTTCTAAATCAATAATATCTATCAGAATACTTTGACTTTAATATGTACTTTCAGATATATGATTTGCTTGTGATATTTTACTGTTCGTCACAGCTTATCTGATACCAATACCCAATTCATATCGATATGCGTATCATGAAATCTTAAACTTAGAAAAATATTCTACTGCTTTTATAGTAAAGTATACTATTTTGCTATTGCTCTTGTATAATACATTATTTCTTATTCACGTAAGATGTTGGATTTCCTTTTCTATCGTGAAATATCGGTTACTTCATATTTGTGCAATAAGAACATACGAATGATAGTCCAAATTAAATGTTTTATGCCATGTTCTTAACTTAATTGATCGTTCTTTTGACAAAACAGATGTTGTGTAATTGTCTCTGTCACCTTCCTTTGGCTGCACAAATAAATGTTATTTCAAAGAAAAGCACAATTGTTAGTTACGGAGCAATACACACATATGAATCATCTTAATGTATAAGAACTTCATTCCATTTAAATGTCTTCATGGTTATTGTTCAATGCCCAAAGCAATACATGAATAATTGATCAATATAATTATCCGTATCCATCAAATTCATCGAGGAAGAAGCAATAACCAATGTAGTTTGAAAATATGTTTCAGGCAGTGGATCTCAACAAACCAGTGGATAAGAAACTGTACAAAGGAACGAATCCCACTTGCCACAATTTTAATCAAACGACAGCAACAGTGGAAAGTGCACCGCTTCTTGTGGGTTTTTCTACAGGACAGATTCAATTAATAGACCCAATCAAGAAGGAACTTAGTAAACTGTACAATGAAGAGGTACGTCATTCATAATCGCACGGAAAATTTATTTGGTAATAAACATGATCTTGCTGAAGCTTTTTAGAATTCAAGACATGTGGAATGTACGGAAACGATACTTCCCGTGATGCTTCGTTGTTTTAAAAGTTTTCTGTTCTATGGTTACAGCGTAATAGATATCATACGTGAGTTCTACGTACAAAAACCTTCGTCACTTATTCAATCTTTGTGATATGTGTGTTATCTGGTTGGGAACCGATAAAGAAGGAACTAATAATAGTTTGGCTGCTTACGGTGTTATTTACGACTCACTCCGAGTATTACGTATTAACGCTTACACGCATACTTGCTGATCCGACAGGGCCGCTCTAATGCAATTATAACTCAATCAAATAATTAAGCTCAACAGGAAAAATTACATAACTTTTCGCTATCTTCTTATGGCAGTCAATGGCTACCGAATAACCCCAGAGTCTTCCATCCTGAAATACAGATTTGATTTTGTGCTAATTTTAGCTATTTTGCGTTTAGTCAATCTTCAATCTGTTTTTCTCGAAGCTTCACTTTTTTCTTACACATCCTCCGATAAACGATCTTATGCTCTGTATATCCCTGAACCGGTCGCGGCTGTCTTTACCCTGAGTTTACAGAAATTAGCAGTACTTCAGAGGCAGGCAGGCTCTAAGCCATTAAATATCCTTTCGTGTTTCAGAGGCTCATAGATAAAAGTAAAGTTACGTGTATAAAATGGGTTCCTGGATCGAGCAACCTGTTCTTGGTATCTCACAGTTCCGGCCAGCTTTATCTCTATAACGAAGAGCTACTTTGCGGTACGACACCGCCGCATTATCAGCCTTTCAAGTCCGGGGACGGTTACGCGATACACACCTGTAAAACGAAATCGACACGGAATCCGCTTTATCGATGGGTCATCGGAGCGGAAGGATGTTGTATAAACGAGTTTGCCTTCAGCCCCTGTGGCTCAAATTTGGCGGTAGTTTCCCAGGATGGCTTTCTCAGAGTATTTCACTACGACACGATGGAGCTGGTGGGTTCGGCGAGAAGTTATTTTGGTGGTTTCTTGTGTGTCTGTTGGTCCCCTGACGGAAGATACGTCGTAGTCGGCGGTGAGGATGACCTCGTGACGATCTGGAGCTTCCACGAGAAGAGGGTGGTAGCTCGAGGCCAGGGTCACCACAGCTGGGTAAGCGTGGTGGCCTTCGATCCTTACACTACCTCCTACGGAGACCACGATCCGGACTTCAGTGGCTCAGACGACGAGACGATGCCGCACAACAACCATAATCACTTCCACGAGAAGCCATGCAGGCTGTCGAACGCGTCCCAGGGGATTCACTCTAATAGGAACTCGTGCGGATCCGAACTGAGAGTTTCCGGCGGAACGTGTTACAGGCTTGGGAGTGTCTCCCAGGACACGCAATTATGCCTCTGGGATATCACGGAGGACGTGCTCAGGCAGCCAGTGAACCCAAAGCAGAGAGCCTCGACAGCCGGTTCTGGGAGTTTCTCATCGTCGGGTACGTTTACGAGCGGCAACGGTGCCACGACGAATCACCACGCGAACAACGCGAAACACAACAACACGAACAACGTGAACTTGAAAGAAAGCGCGAGTGCTAATAACGAAAGTAGTAACAATAGTACGAGCACCAACGCAGCAGTGTCCACGGTGAACTCGCTGACACAAAGGTTAGTGGGGATCGGATTCGGCGAGCGTAAGGGTGACAATCACAAGAGGAACTTTAGCCTGACTATGAGGGCGAGCGGTACGAGTAACAACGGGCCGGTGCAAAACAGTAGTGCCGAAAAATCGGGAATTAACGCGAACGCGACTAACTCGAACAGTGTCGGTGGAAGTTTAGGTGCGAATAAGAAGGCCGGTTCCGCGATGGACGATCCGATGAGGTTGATAGGGACAGCCTGGTGTCCCAGGTTCGACGAGTGTCCGGTACTGGAGCCGCTCGTCTGCAAGAAGCTGGCGCACGAGAGATTGACTGAATTAGTGTTTAGGGAAGATTGCTTCGTGACGGCGTGTCAGGACGGATACGTCTACACGTGGGCGAGACCCGGTCACATGGTAGGTCCTCTCACCATAAACAGCATCCTGCACAGGCCACACCACCATAGCAATCCCCATAGCAACATTAATTCCATGCGATCTAACGATCTCTGATGTAACCCATCCCCTATCGTTATTAAAGCCCCGTAACTTTTAGAGTCTATTAAATAATTATTAATCGATCAGATTTTGTATATATAGTACTAGCTCAGGTACCGTATCTTGGTCCAGAAAATCATCGAAGATCTGTAACGCTTTCGCATATACTTTAGTCAATTTTCTTTCATTTTTTACTAGACTCTTTCCATACTGTTCCCCCATCGTGTAGTCTCCGTTTACTGCATGCGATCCTTTGATCCCGGGAACCCAACCCCCTTATTCTCCACCTTTTTGTAGCGGTTACCAACTCAAGTATTACGTAGTATATTTAGACTCCTTATTACTCCGACTTGTTCTCACGGTAACTCTTTAAACGTCATTTTTAAACTTTTCGGTTAATCTGTCTCCACGTGAATTGATCGCCACGTGGCATTTTTTCTTTTATGGTTCCTTTCAACGTTTACCTTTTATTCGTTCACCTTTTATTCATGTTATCGTACTGCATGTGCACCCGATAGAAATGACGCTCGAAAAGTGCCATCGAACGAAGCGTTAGAGATCTTCGGAAATTTGTCCAAGTCCGTACCATATATGAATTTGCAAAAGAGCACAGACGGTCAATTACCATGCCTGAACGTATTTCCCTTATCATTCTATTTTACTAATTTTTAGCGATTCTCTTGCATCGTAACAAAATTTAACGATACCGTGATCTCACTTATGCCATTATTATCGCTATTGTTAACTCATTATCGAACCGTTTATTTTTGATGCACTGCTTTAGGCGCCAGCACTTGGCCAATTACTAAATACCTTTGCGTGCTTTCAGACACTTACTTAGATTTCCAAACAATCTAATCGAAAGAAAAAAGTGTCAGGAACGATTCTCGTTGCCGATTCATGAACATTTTATTAAATAAGTCGTGTTCTACGTTCATTCATTGAATTGACCGTTTTTGTAACTTCTGTGCCTAACCTAATATGTCTGGTCAAAATGTATTCAGAAAGGAATATCGATGAGAAACACGATAGAGCAAATATAGATAGTGTTATATTTATGTCTGGTTTGCATCTTTGAGAGTGACGTTGTTTGCGCCCCGTGAGGTCTTGTAACAGGGCAGGTCCCTTTTTTCCCTTCTTTTTTTTCAAAGAAAAAAAAACTAGGCTCCGCATATTTTCCTGATAAATTGAGTGAGCGAAAGATAAAGAGAGATATAATATACGTCTCAGCACCTTGTGTCCCGCAACCCAAAAGCGAAATGCGAATCACTGTTTTTTTTTTCCCCCTCGATTCTCCCTGTCCCTCCCACTTCCCTCCCTCGTCCCTGTAAAGTGTTACTAGCTTAGCTTAGTCAATCGTAGAGAAGCAACGGATTACGTAGCAAGATTATTGTCCCAGAATAATAAGAATAATGTGACATTTTATCCTCTGTTGGAAACGATAAAATTGCCTTGTTGTAAAATAAAGCGAAAAGTTGAATGAAAATATACCGCTGCTTGCTTCCTGCTTGTGAATATATTTTTCTTTTTTATTTTCTCTCTCTTTTCTCTCTTTTTCTCGAAAACGCGTCGCGTCAACGAGCGCAGCGCGTTTCAATTTTCCGAGATTTTTGCGAGAGTAAGGGGAAAAATACAAAAAAAAAAAAAAGAATCAGCGAGTGCCAAATGTCGTGACTGTAAAATTATTTGAAAAATTGAAACTGCCTCGTATGTCGTAGCGCCTGTAATCGCGGAACTCGTGTGAGGAAACGTGCGGTATCGATGTTGCAGTAATGTAAGCGTGATTGATAGGGGGTTGACAAAAAGATTAATTGGAATTAAAAAGAAAAAAAGAGACAGTACATTGACGTGCGTTAAAAGATTATAATTTTTTTAAAAATTATAAAAAAAATTTTACGCAGCCGCAAAGCGATACGATCAATTCGTCACGTTGGGTAAATCTCGGCGTTGCAGGTTTCAATGTTTTTACACGGACTCGCGTTGTTTATTTTTAACGAAGAAAAAAGAAAACAAGTAATCGTCATCGTCATCGTCATTATTATTTAATCGAAGGATGCTTGCGCTTGTTCCTTAAGGCTCTCGAGGATGAATTGAGATTTCTTTTCTTTTCCTTTAATTGAAAGATTAATGTTCTGTGCGATGCTTTGGCTGACGCAAGAAACCGTGGATGCCGTCCTGAGTTTTCGCATGGTACGTATGACTTATCGTTTCTTTAATATTCATTTAGACCGCTTGAGATAGATGGAATGAATAAAGCGCGCTATAGGAAGTAGGCCGAGGCTTTTTAAGTTTTTCCAAAATGCTGCAACAACGATAAGAAATCCTCGGCAATGCAACTGTGACCACCGTATAGACACCTCTTTGGTATTCTCCTTTACAGTGCACCGTAGAACCGACCCAAGTCTACTTGCGGTCACTCCCTTGGTAGCGCACTGTCAATCGACTGTCACTGTCTCCCGTATGGTTTAGCCAATCTTTGTCAGTCTCGCACTCCTGCCGGAATTCCCGAGGCAATTATCTGCATGTTATCATAAGCGATTGCGAGCTTGTCATTAATATCCTTGTTCATTATTTCTCTCTCTGCACCCAGAGTGGCACTGGGCAAGTGGGAACTGCCTTGCACGTTGTGAGTCCAGCCGAAAGCGGAGGAACCGTCGTATAGCCAGAGCCTGAAACGAATGGAACTTCAGGTTCGATAATTGGAGAAGGAAGTCGGGACTCGTCATCCTCGACTGAACTACTATTTCTACCGTACGGCTATCCTCAACGTCCGTTCTATGTATGGCCAATCGAGAGCTACTCAAGTCTGGTGTAGTCCTTATATAGAGTAAGTCCGTGCGCGTCCATGGGAAGTCCAGGAATTCTTGTTGTGAGAAGTTTGAAGATTTAGTAAGGCAGATAGATAGATAGAGGACTTTAAACTGAGTGATGGATTGTGCAGGGGTGCCAGGAGAAGCGATTGTTTGGAATGCAAGGACAGGATCCCCGTTAATGGAGGACAGGAGCTCGATGAAAATGCGAGGATAGATACTAATAAGGTTTTAGTATTATCTAAAGCCATGTATTCGCCCACAGAATATTCAGCACCATTCCAGTTTTAGCTTATGTTTACTATGCGAGCAAGGCAGAAGCCTTACGATGGAAATTCGTACGATCGGATGTAGGATTTTTCGCGAGTATTTCGACTTTACGGTCGAGTAAGGTATAAAACAATGGCCTCTTGGTATACGTGTATCTACGTTGTATTCCTTGTCGACGATTAAGAACCGCACGTGTCATATTTATGTGTAAAGGCGTGAACTGGCGCGCCAGAAAATTCTGTACGACCTCGAGGATTGCGCAATAATACTGTGGAAAGTAAAATGCATTATAACGAACGAAGGAAGAAACGGAATAGCGCGGATAAGGACCGTGGACGATTTTAAAAACAATTCGGACTCACGATGCGCGACGGTTTTCATGAATCCTCTTTAATATAGTCCCTCAGTTATTTGAAGACTTTCCTAACGTAACTTAACGAAGCATTCGAATCGCCACTCTTAAATGGCCTTGATAAGATCGTAAGTAAGAGTTAACGATGAGAGACTATTGATTTTTACCTTTTTTTCTTTCTTTTCCTCCTCCGTGCATAATGGCATTGGTATTTTTTAGCGTAAAGCGTTAAGGGTGCGTGCGAGGGCGAGGGGGGAGGGGGAAGGGGGAGGGGTGGAAGGATGTGGGAGGCGAGTTGATGATATAAACACTGGTTTCGCTTTATTGAAAATCTATAATGAGTGCACCGCAGGGTGTACGACCAGTTGAGAATTATACGTGACAAGTAATTTTGTACCTGAGAGCTATAGGACGTTTATTAAATGTACAGGAGGTATCACGCAGCAGCGATGCTGCGAATTATGCGAGACAAGTTTGCTGCGTTGTTGCGTTTTTCCCTCGTGGAACCGTACTCTGCGACGTTTATTGTTTCGATAAGTAATTCGAGTTTCATGAATTTTGTTTTGTTCTTTCGTCATATTTCGCGGAATCGAAGTTCGTCATTATTCACTTTGTTATTATTATTACTTATACGAGTATTGTGTTTCGAGTGCGCGAGGGCTCCATTTTTTGATCTTCGTTGACACGAAGGCAATTTATTAACGACTGGTGCGTCGAGTATTTTTCGTGAAAGCCTTCTTTTTACAGGTTACTTAGGACGCGCTTTTATTAATAATTAATTAAGGTGAAAGAATGAAAACTTTTACTTGGTAAGATTGCTCACGGCGTGCGCTCTATTGCCATTGGACGTTAATCTTTAAATACCTGATGTTTTGTCGGGGACAAAAGAAATAATGAATAGTTACGCGAAATGCTCACGTGTGTCATTATACTTACTTGTTAGGTATCGATGTGAACAGAGCTGTATTAGACGATTTGAATGCGCAAGATGGTCGCCATGCCACTGGCGCCACCTGCGTGAAGTGCACCGCCTTTTGCGCTATCACATGTTTACCTATTCGGGAACCGAATTGGAATTGGAAATTTATTTAAAGGTACGAGAGATGTATTTGATGAAAGTGCGAATAGTTATTAAATGCTGATCGAAAGAAGGGTGGGGAAAAAAGAAAAAGGAATTTTCTGCGAGTCCAATTCTACATGATTCGTGACCATAGTTCTCAGGTGCAGAACTGTATCATAATGGAGATAAACAAAAAAGGATGAAGGAGGAAAGCAAAGTATAAATATTACTAGGTACTTATTAAATATTCTAAGAATAGACAGTATTTCAAGAATAGGATATTCCACAAGGCGATACTATTTATTAATTTACAAATGAACCGACAAAGAGTAAATGAGATCGTTATAGACTTAAAATTAGAGGTGAACTGTTCGCATTGTTGAAAACGATATGCAGCGTTTTGAGGCTGAGATTTGTATTGGAAACTTGTATGTTTGCGATTACTTCGCCGACCTATGACGCGAACGTTTTTTTGTTCGTATATATTTAAATATTCTTGCGAGACGATTAAGAAATTTTTATTTTTTCCTAAATTTATCGCTTCGCGGGAAAACTTGAAATTTTCAACTAATCGAACTATCATAGTCACGCGATACAATTTTTCTTTTGGAATCATTTCGTTCTATGTGTCTGGCACTTATTTTTACTGCAGGTCGAATCAATATTTAAAAATCCTTTTAACGAAACAAATCGTCACGGAGCACTGTGATAGGTGTGCGTAGAGTATGTTTTATTGAGACACTGTTAAAAAGTGCTACGATTAATAAGGATTATACGTGAAACTTAAGAGTAATGAAACGATTGTTTGCGATTAAGAGAAAATACGTGAACATGGAGAAAAAACCGCAACAACTTCTGACGTGTCAATTCCCACTGGTCGGCGGATATTTACTCCTACAGTATATTACAATTTTGAGACGGAACGTGATTCGTACGAAATGTCGATCGATCGGCCATGTTGAACGGAACTAAAACCGATCTTTGCGATTATTTAAAGTTCCTGCCTCATCTGCGCGCAAAGCGAGACAGTATGCTATGGGAGATTTCATTTATTCGAAATTTCGGAATTATTTGAAAGTTGCATATGCGAAACTCATATTGCGTATGAATAATGGTGGGAGCTAAAGTAGAAAACGGAAAGCAAAGAAGAACTGCTCTATGTTTGGTTACCGATTTCATACATGGTCGATGTTGTTTGGCTCATAGTCTCGGGGTAACGAGACACAATGAAAATAAAAAAAATTAGTGCATTCATTTTGGCAACATTTTTGTACGAAATCTTTTGGCGCAGCAGAGGGCTTCGCTATGTCGCGTCGAATCCATATTGTATTTCTCAGCGCATTTTTTCTTTTATCATTTTTTCTCACTTTTTATTTATTTATCAACGTGTACATTCTTTGTATCTGTAAATGAAGAAATTTCATTGTTATTAATGTGAGTCGTTCTTCCGCTTCTATTCCTGTCCATGGATTTTGTTACCAATGACTCTGCCAACCTGATGGCATCAATTGAATTTCATTGACGTCAACATTTGGCAAATGCGGAAAACGAGAATGCATTGGAGGATCTCTATTGTTTTGTTTTACGTGTATTAAATTTGGTGCGCGATCTTTGGCATTCTTTGAAAAATCGTCAGTTAATCGATACAACGGATTGAATTCATATTACGCAATGGTAAAAAAACTACAAATTGTACGTGTCGACGCGGACGCCGTGACAAAGGCCGATCTACACGTTGGAAATAATATAATTGGATCTGATAGCTCTTCGGCTGGAGTAAGTAAACTGTGACTTTAGAAATTTAGCTAATATATTTAATTCCATTTGTATGTAAAGTAGTCTCAGAGTAGCTTTTGAATATCTAGCTTTAAATGAATTTTCAAATTCCCGCCAATAAGACTTTGAACTATCGCAACGCAATAAGGAAAACTGTTGCGACTCGTTGCGACGTTTGACAGTAGTACCTGGTAGTACGTTGTGCTTACGAGTGAGTTAACTCAATACGATAGTATGTGTAATAAGATTCAGAGTATCTTACAACCAAAAAAGAGATTAACATCTAATTTTCTTGAATTATCAAATATTTGTTTCTATTCTGTTTTTTAACGTTATCTTCATCCATTCAGATTAAAAGTACTATACCCAAGCAAGCTGTCACTATAAATTTATCACCAAGTGGCGAACTGACTATAACTCCGGTATGTTTACAGCGGGTAATATTCTTTATAATGACTCGTAGAGGAGCTACTAAATAGCCAACCTCAAAAACTCACAGAGTATACTGCGATGCTATATATTCTTTATTACTACAAACTACTTTTTCTAGCATCAAGTAGCATTCTGTTACATGAGACCAGTTGGTTCCACCAAATGGACAGTCCTAAAAGTTGGTGATACAGTGCCCATTTATCCTGGAGACTTGTTTTCATTATTACACAAGAAATGTTCCTTTAAGATAATTTCTACAGATGATACAATGGGTGACAGCAATTTAGAGACAAGAAGAGAAGTAAATTATTATACAATATTTTCAGATAAATAAGACCCTTATTATTCGCTGCTCTATAATTCATATTTTATGCAGGCTGATGAAAGGATAGATAAGGAGCCTCCTGCTAAGAAACTGTGTTTGGAAACAAGTGTCGAGGATATAATGCTGCCAAACAACAATATGAAGGACACTTCAAGCAGTATTGAAGTCGATCCAACTATAGAGGAAGCAAACACATTGCATTTGGAAGGTGAAACCAACAGGAAGAAGTTAGAAGATGATCCATTTTTTAAAGATATCTATGGTGCCAGGTTGCATAAGAGTTATAATTAGATTGCAAATACGTTTGAACGTAGATAGTTCAGAAAATTTGAGAAAATGCTTTGCATTTTTGTGTATCTTTCAATCGGCAGTTTTCAGGAGGCACCACAATTGTTATCAGCCCTATCAGATGCTCAGTCTACGAGCCCTAAAGTGTCCCCTGTACTGTGTGAGATAACGTCGTCCACATTGGAGGACCAGAATACAGAAGAAGTGAATGAGACCACGACGACAGCTGTCGAGGATGCTAATAAGAAAATAAAGTGGGATTGTGGACGACACTTTAGCGATCAGAGTGATCAGGCAATCGTGAGTGAAGTAAGAGGAACGGACGTAGAATCGAGCGCTGAGGACTCTAGGAACGCGATGCAGCAGAATTCTGAAACTACACAACCAGCAAGAAGAGATAAGTGTGCTTATGGAACTAGTTGTTATAGGTATTGATTACTTCTTGCAATTTGTCTGGTAAATTGATGTACTATTTTGCCTTCTTATTAAGTATGTTATCCCTCTTTGTAGGAAGAATGCATTCCATAAGGCTGAATTTAGCCATCCTGGTGATAGTGACTATGACACTCCCGATGACAGAGCCGAATGCCCATATGGGATTAAATGTTACCGAAAGAATCCGCAGCATAAATTGGAGTTTAAACATACCACTATAACAAGAGGAAGGGCGCAGACTCCATTAGGAACAGAAACATCTGATGCAGGTTCGGAGGTTGAGGAACTATCATTCGAAGATTCAGCAGAAGAGTCTGTTGATGAGTCTGAATACAACCCTTCATGTTGTTCAGAAAGTTCAGAGGAAACGTGAAGTTGGAAAGGAAAGAGAAACATTGAGTAAGAATCAGTGACTGAGAGTTGTGGAATTTTCTAAATACGTGTAGCATCACTGACGTATGTAACTTGTATGTATGAATTTTTCTCCTTTGGTAGTAAACGTTTATTTTTGTTATTAACCTACTGTCTTATGATTAAAACATGGAATATAGTAAAAATAAAGGAATTATACGATTAAATTTTAGTTTCACAATAGAAACTTGTTTATAGATTATATTGAAGGTTTAGTACACCTGATAACCTTCATCATCTTCAGCAGCGAATTCCTCTGTAGCAACAATAGCGACATCCGCCAGCATATGCTTTGGAATTTCAGATCCTCTTACTCTTATTGTGTAGCAGACATTTTCCATCTTGGCCAAGTTCTGTTTCAGCGTATATAGTTTTCTGTTAACTTCTTTGCCTGAGGCACCTACACATCCTAGGAATCCTTTATACATATCTCTCACGAAATTGCAGGTCTGATAACAACTTGAAATATTTCCTGAGGCAAGATTATTTATGCACTTTCGCATTAACTCTCCAGTCAGATCTGCTATTCCCAAGATGTACTCGTATGGTATTACAGGGGTACATATTACCCTAGTCTGTGGTTGATCATCCTCATTCTCCTTGCTCTTGTCCACAACTGAATAAACCAGTGACTTATCTAGATCTTTCCAGTCTTGTAGACAGTTGTCATATAAATATTGGTAGAAGGTGATTGCTTCTACAAATTCCTGAACACCAGCTCTATAAGCACGGAGGTATTCGTATACATCCTGTCCATCTAATTCATGAGCAATATTTTTGAAAAGAGTTTTAACCATAGCATCCAGTCTAATTTTAGCCTCTCCGAGAACAGTATCTCTCTTACTTTCCTTGTCAAGAGTATGTAAAAGAAAGATTATTCTCTTGCTTTCGATGGTGACATCTCGACTAAGCTTTACAATTCTTTCATATCGGTCATGTTTACTGTCCAACTCAGCAGCATAAGCACGAAACTGTTTGATTACTAAAGAATTCTCATTGATATTTTCAAGAACTTCCTTGCCTTTGTCACCAACATTCACCTTGTTCTTGTTGTTGTAATGGTAAGCACGGTGATTCCTTCTACTTCCTCCAGATGAATCTGTAACAATAGAAAAATAAATTTTATCATTAACTATGTCAATGCATGGACAAAAGGATCTATTATATTTAATGTAATAATAATAATTTCAATGTTATTTATATATTATAAACAACTAGTAAATTTCTAATAATTCAATGCAAATATTGTCAATATGTTGATACTTTTACTTACTTCTTCCTTGTGACATATTGACGAAATGATACTAAACGTTTGTTTGATGATAATATCCAAGATTGCACATGAAATATTGAAATATGTAATTTCTCTTTATAAAGATTCAACTAGCAAGTAATGATTGTATCATTTAAAACTAGCAGGTATCAGAGATGAGTGGGGAGGTGCACAACGCCAGAGATCAGTAGGGAGATGCACAACGCTACGGTTTTAGGCGATACCAAAAACATGACGCTAAATCGTAGCGGCGAGTCCGGGAATAGAATTTTGTGATCATCGTTTCCGTCGATAATGCATATCCCGTCGTAGCCGAGCTGAACGTGATCACGAACGGGTAGCCTGGCGGGCAGAGATTCTCCACAACTTACAACTGATTCCCAGAGCAACCCTTAGAAAGAGGCCGCTTATCAGATATTGCCTAAATCTTTTTTTTTTGTAATCTTAAATTCAAATGTACAGTGTAAGCTCGATAAGATTTACTAAGACAAAAGCCAGCACCTTATGCCTGCCTGTGTTAAGGAGTGCAGCGATGCGGTGCTAGCTTCCATCATTATT